GGAGGCAGGGCTCCCAGTTTGTTGTTGCTGACAATGAGCACCCGCAGGGGCAGCTGACAGATGTAGGATGGCAGCGATGACAACTGGTTTCGGCTGCGGAAAGAAGAAAGGCATTGGGCTCACTCCCCGCACAGTGCACCCCAGTGTGGCCCTCCTCCAAAGGTCATCAGGAGGGTCACCCAGGGTACTGTGCACTGATGCTTGGGGCTGAGAAGGATAAGCTGCACCCTCCCCTGGTTCTGCCTCCCTACCTGAGGTTGAGGTAGGTGAGGGCTGTGAGATTCCCCAAAGCTGGATTCAGGCATCTCAGGCAATTGTGGTACAGGCTCAGGCCCTCCAGGGACACCAGCTGGCACGCTGCCTCTGGCACCTCGGGGAACCGGTTGCGGGACAGGTCTAAGGGAAGCAAGAGTCAGGGGAGAACTGTGGAGATGTCCAGCTTGGGCAGGAAGACCTTGAACTTCTCCAGAACCATGTGCCCAGCCCTCTACCTCCCCAGCAGACCTGAAGAGTCAGGCTTATAAACATGGGCTACCTGCAAAGAGAACAAAGCCTTCTGCAGACTGGAGCACATTTCAAGCATGACCAGAATGGCAAAGGGAAGGCAAAGGCCTTAGGGTCACTGGGCTGGAGATGCCCAAACTTGGGGCGGTGGGTGGGACAAGCCATGAATGCTGTCTTCAAACAAATAAATGAAGGGCTACCCTGAAAGGGTGTCTGGAATCTGTAACTCTTGTGGTTCCTGTTGCTCTGTGATGCCAGGAGAGGTGGAAGACAACGGTCTTAGGAGAGTGCTGGTGCTCCAAAGAAAAGGGCAAGACGATAGAGCTGGGAGGCTCAAGGTAAGAAGATGGACAACCTTTTGAGAAACCCACTGAGAAAGCCCATCCTTCCTCAGGAGCCCTGTCTCCCAACCTCAACCCGTTTTCAACCCAGGGGAAAAACCAAAGGTCATTACAGCCTGACTCTAGAGTTAAGGCTCCCAACACTGGACAACAGTTTTTCACCAGTCCCCAGGATTAGCAAGCCAGGTCCAAGGGTCTATGAAGTAACAGACTCCCCAGGACCAGGAAGGAAATGCAAGTCAACCAAACTGGAGGTGGGAGCTAGAGTCCTCTGGTCCCTCCCGTCCAGGCACACCTTTTTCAGGACTGGCTCATTCCCACCCTCTTATAGCTCCACCAGCCCTCCTTTACTTCCCCTCTTCAGCCCCAGACTTCAAGCAATCACCTCCTTTGCGTTGAACACAGACACTAGTGGAGAGGGTGGAAAGGAGAGTAGAGTCTATTACTGACGCCTTAACTCAGGTGGTGGCTTACTATTCAATGCAGAGTCAGGCATTTGGGTTCCCACCAGTCTGGAGGCACTCACTGCTTAGTCTTTTATGCCTGGGTTTATGTTTCTTCTGCTTAGCCTGTATTGGGAGGAGCCTAGGGCCTTCTGGGGGAAGTCCTAGGCAGCAGTACTCGGGTGAGCTTCTTAGATGGCCCTCCCAAGGGAGGAGTGAGCAAAAGCTGAGGGGAGGAGAAGCTGGGGCATATCCCCCAAGGAAATGGGTCTTGTGACAGGAAATGAAGTAGAAACAATCTGTCAGGTACTGACTCCAGTGGGCCCTGTGTTTGCAGGGATGACAGTCTGATACCCCAGTCTGGGAGAGAAAGGGATTGTTCTCTCCCTTTCTGCTCCCAACCCTGGTGCACACAGACCTGTCACAGGAGAAGACAGCTCCGGAGAGGGTGGGAGGACCACATGCAGTCTTCCTACTCTCATCCTCCACCTGCCCACTTTCTCTGCATCCACCAAATGTGCGCACACACATATGTATGGATGAGTGGGGAGGAGAACAATTTATAATGGGGTAAGCAGGTGGCGAGGGGCAAAGCTAGGAGCGGAAGGGAGCCCAAGCAGGAGGAGGCAGGGCACAGGAGGCACAGGATGTGGTCTGTGAGAGAGTGAGCTACACTTCTCCTTTGTGAGGGTGGCCCCTCCTCCCATCTCAGGAGTCACCCTACTACCGGGCACCAGGAATACAGTCCAAGGGCTAAGAGGGACCTGTGCCATAGGAAAAATGCATGGAAAACACTGGTTCAGAAAGTACTGGGAAAGCAGGAGAAGGTTTGAAATGATTCTGGCAGCAGAGTGGTGATGCTTTTAATCTGGGTTGGAGGGCAAGGAGGTATTGGAGGACAGGGTACCGGCAACACTGACTGTTTTTGTCACTTCCCCTTTCCGCCCTAAGCTGTAAGCACCCTGCTTGAGGAGAGGGAACAGAGAAGAGAGTTCTGGACAAGATAGATCCCACCTGGCCTAGAACCCAGGTCCTGAAAGGACGGAGGATTCCTGCACAGAGAGCAGGGCAGAAAGGGGTTCTCAGAAAGCAGGAATTTTCCCGCTTCGCTACACAAGCTCGCTCACAGGAGAACTGGCTGCACCCTGAGCCGGAATGCTAGGGGAGGAGGGGGGAGGGGGGAGAGCTGGGAAGATCAGGGAGTTCTTGGTAGTTTTCCCCAGGAGTCCACTCAGAGACAGAGCCCTAAGGAAGTAGAGAATAACATTTGGTCTTTGTCAAAAAACAAGCAAGGGGGAGGGGAAGGAGAACAGACATCGAGTGTCACACAGCTGCTGAGGTCAATCTGGAGCTTGGGGGTTAGGCGGCTCGGGGAGACAGAGAGGATGGCTCCTGGGGCTCACCCATTCATTCTCTGAACTCACTCACTGCATAGTGGGCAAGTTCATTTACCCAGAAACCCAAGAAAAGTGGTAAAGTTAAAAGTGGTTCTTCCCAGGACAGTAGGGGATGAGTGCGTCTGTGCCATTTCAGTGTTTTCAGGTAACCAGGCACCTGCTAGGGGAGAAACACAGTCCCAAGGCAGTGTCAACAGTGAGGACACTGACCCAACCCCTAGTCCCACCCTGGGCTAGGCTGGGGTGGGGCTTCGGGAATGCAGTCCTCCTCCCTTCTTCCAATCCACCCTGCCACACACACACATACAGCTGCCAGCCCAAGGTCATAGGTTGTCTCCAGAGCAGCTGAGGCCTGACTCACCTGCCATAGTAGAGTCCCCCAAACCCCACCATCAACAGACACCAGGGTGGAGGAAGCATGATTAAAGGGATCCTGCGGGTGGGGGAGTGGAAGGATAGTCAGACGGTCTCTAGGTTCCCAGCACTCCTAGCAAGAAGATAAGATTTCCTTCCTTCTAGCAACTGCCTCAAGTATCTTCCCCAGGGGAAAGCAGAATCAGAAATGGGAATTCTAGGGTCCCTATGAGGTCACAGGCTCCACAGTGACCTCATACACGCAGGAAGGAGGAGGAGTCTCAGATAAGAGCGTCAGGAATAATGGGCGGAAGAGTTGGGGAGAAAAGAGGGGTGGTGAAGATTTGCTTCTTTCCCATAGGCTGGCTGGGCGAAAAGTGGAGAGGGCTGGGGACCTTAGGGGGCGGGACTACAAGCAAAATAAGCAGAAACAGGTTGATAAGGACAAATCCATGGGAAAGGCGTCCTAAGTCTCCTGGGATCTCGGTGGAACGGGGAAAGTTGCAGACGAAGTGGAAGAAGAGAAAGGAGTCATTAGAGGGGTTCATGGGGGCTGCTTTATGGAACGATCAGAACTGAGGTTGAAGAAGCCATGCAAATAAGCCAACCAGGTGAGGGGCGGGACCATTCTACAGGTGCGCCAATATGCAAATAAAGAGAAGCTAAGGGCGGGCAGATCACAACATTCCGCCGGGAATTCGGGGCTTACCCAGCAAATGAGAAACGCAGTCATTGTCTAGTAGTTCTTAAGGTGGGGAGGGGGTAGTCGCAGGCTTATGCAAATCAGCAGAGTAAAGAACACCGACTGACTGCCAGGTGAAGGACCAGACTCCCCCTCCCCGGGAGTAGCACACGAAGGGGCGGGGCTATTCAAATGAGGGTCTCATCTGGGCTCTAGGCCCAGTGCACTCACCAGCCTGGGTGATGTCTGACAGATCGTAGCTGCGGGCCGCGCCCCGGGGGAAGTGCTTCAAGCGCCGGTTAGACAGGTTCAGGGTCCCGGTAGCCACGGCCTCCTCGAGGGCCCGCTCTGCACTGCGGCTCCCAGGCAGACCCGGAGATCCTGGAACGGAGTTTGTGGCCGCCGCCTCCTCACCCCCCGAGGAGAGTGGGGCCGCCACCACCGCCGCCATCCGCTCCCGGCGGCTACCGCTGCCTGACTGACGGGACCGGCCGTCCCCTCTTCCCCCCCCCACACCCTCCTTAGAGCCGCCGTAGTGACTTCAAGGGGGAGGAAGTGGGCCCAGAGACCAGGTGGACCAATCGCGGTCCCTAGACGCGTAGGAAGTGGCTAATCAGAACCCGCCAGGGGGTGGAGACTCCGGCGCTGAAGTGAGGCGAGAGAAAGGAGGAGGACTAGAATGGAGCTCTCGCCAACGGCCGACGCTTCAACCTGGCTCGACCTGTGCAGCCGCATCCAATCACACTACTTAGGGCTAGAGATAGAGCCAATCAGGTCCAACCAGGAGGCGGGAACGCCAGCGCTCAACTAGAAGGGATAGGGGCAGGGAGACCAGAAGGCCGGGGCGCCTAGTCCTCTTCTAATGAAGACCAATCGCAAGCCATATACAGGCGAGTGACTGACAAGAAACCCAATTAGATTTTCTGAAGGGAACCTGGCCCGTTCGCTGAAAGACGGGTCTACCTACCAATAGCATGGGAGAAAAGGAGGTCCCTTCGTTAAGGAGGAGGTGCATGAGCTACAACTTTGAGACTAGGGTAAAGACCGTGAGCGCTGCGCACTTTTGGGTTGGAAGCACTGCAGGGGCAGTAGTGTGTGCGAAGTGTGTTTTAAGGAGCGAGCCAGCTTTGAGGCCGTGAGGTAGACCGGGGAGTGCTGGGCAACGCCGAGACCCGTGCACCAGGGGGTCGTTCAGTGGAGGCCATTCCGACTGCGGAGGCTGAGGCTCTGCGATGATCAGTGGAGACCCAGCGGGCGGCTTCCAGAGCTAAGATGACCCGCTCAACTTTTGGAGGGAGGGTTCCAGGAGCCCGCGAAAACTTCAAGAGCTGCCACCCGGCCTACCAGCCCAGCCAGAGGAGCGCGCCGGGTCAGGAATTGTGTTGAGAAGACTGGGGGATTAGTCTAGAAAGGACCGTCTCTCATCTAGAAGTCCTCTACTTTACAAATGTGGAAATTGAGGCGGAGGGAAATGGATGAGTTGGTGGGAGCAAACAGCAAGGTGCTGACACCTTGCGCTAGAGCCCAGGCTTCCAAATGCGTCAGCTTTTACGGTGGGCTTTTTCTGTTCTCCCCCTCTGCCTCCTGGGTTGCATTGGAGTGAATAAAGGGACCCAGAAATGAGAGGAAGCTGACTATGCTTTTTTTGTCTGCAGAGCGATCTAACATCCTTTTAGATGACCTGAGGACTTTAGTAGTCCACCTTAGTACGTTAGTAGTTGTCTATCCACTCATAAATCACATCTCAGATATTGACATTCCTAAGGATTTATTGAATTATTAAAATTTTATCCTAACCCTGGCTGGTGTGGCTCAGTGGATTGAGTGCCAGCCTAGGAACTGAAAGGTCGCCGGTTTGATTCCCAGTCAGGGCACATGCCTGGGTTTCCGGCCAGGTCCCCAGTTGGGGGTGTGCCAGAGGCAACCGATTGATGTACCTCTCACACACTGATGTTTCTTTCCCTCTCTCCCTTCCACTCTTTCTAAAAATAAATCTTTTAAAATTTCATCCTAGGTAACCTAAACCAGCTGTTTACTGGTCATTCGTGAATCAGAGAGTTTGATTGGGTAGGTCTGTTAGTCCAGTAAACCGAGTCTGTAATACTGTGCAGCTCAGCTGGCTAACCTGGACTGGGTTCCTTCGAGCCCTTGGAAGAGCCAGCTACTCCTTGGATTTATTGGTGCAGATCTGCCCCTACCTGGACAGACACAACCCCAAATCCTGTTTCTCCTCATAAACATCACTATCCCCCTTTCCCCCACCACATAAGACTGTTTTAGACTCTAGAAGACATGCTAAGCTTTCAGAGTAAATCTAGCCCTTTCTTCCACATAATAGATTGCCCTTCATACATACAGTGATGTTACTGACCCAGGAAAGCAGTCTGCTTTGGCTTTTTTTTTTTAATTTTGTTTTTAAGATTTTATTTACATATTTTTAGAGAGAAGGGAAGGGAGGGAGAAAGAGGGAGAAAAACATCAATGTGTGGTTGCCTCTCACGTGTCCCCTACTGAGGACCCAGGCATGTGCCCTGACTGGGCATTGAACTGGTAACCCTTTGGTTTGCAGGCTTTGCTCAACCCACTGAGCTACACCAGCCAGGGCTTGGGTGTATTTTTCATAAGACTGTGAAGAGTTTGTGCTGAATTGTCCCTACTTTAATTTGGTTCATGCTTTTGTGAGACAGATAATCATTAGCAGGGCCACTATCCATCTCACCTGTCAAACTGAGTTGATACTTTTTTTTTTTTTTTGAGTTTATACTCTTGAGCTACAAACCCCCTGGAGGCTCTGGCCTGCTGAGATATGACGAATTTACCAGTGTTTCTCCTCAAAGTTAGTGCCAAAAGGGCCTCAAGTGGAAAAACCTCCTACTACTCCCTGAATGTAAAGGCCCCATCAACCAGGAGTTCACACTGTATTTCTCCTGGAAAATGCATATGCCAAGCCATTGAGGGGCTGGAGCTGAGCCAGAACTGAGGAGCTGTCTAAGAGAAAATCTCTGGCAAGGTTGGGGAAAATAGGTCACAGTGGCCAGGCAGTGAGGTCACAGAGGTTTGTCTGCCTCAGACTCCATGGGGGAGGGCCTAGGAGGCAGAGGGGCCCAGAGGTCCCCAAGCCCAGGCAGGGGACATGGTGTGGGAAAGGCAGCAGGGACTGGGCCCAAGATGGGTGCCAAGGGGCTCGGAGAGATGAGGACAGGAGCAGGGAGGGGGCAGTCAGGATGGTGAGGAGAAGCCTGAGACAGAAGCTGCAAAAATTCGCAGGGCTGTGCAGATGGGAGGAGAGGCTCAGAGTGAGGGGTGGAGACAAGGCAAGGGAAGGGCAAGAGGATAGCAAGATATCTGGGGAAGGATTACTTGGAGAAGTTGGACCAAGCAACAAGGTAGACAGGGAGGGGTGACTGTGGACCTAGAGAGAAAGATGGGAGGATTTGACAGCACTAAGCTGGGAGATAGAGCTATGAGCCTCCAAGATAGTAGTTAATAACAGACTGAGAGGAGGAAGAAAACGAGAGATGATTCTCATCGAAGCCCTTGCTCCCCTTTCTTCTCGAGTAGGTGAAGCGGAGCTGCCCTTCATGTGGCCCAGAGCCTGGGGGTGAAGAGAAGAAGGGGAGAGGGAACCCTATTTCTGTTCAGTTGTTCCCCCCAGAGCTGGTGAGTCCTTGGGGAGGGGGAAATATTAAGAATAAAGGACTAGAGGCCAGACCACTGAGGGGCCCCCAATGACCCCCCCTTGATCCCTCCTCTCCCCACAGGTGGAACACATCATCTCATTTCTTCCAGTAAGAGATGTAGTTGCCCTAGGCCAGACCTGCCACTACTTCCACGAAGTGTGCGATGCTGAGGGCGTGTGGAGACGCATCTGTCGCAGGCTCAGTCCTCGCCTACGAGAGCAGGGTTCTGGGGTCCGGCCCTGGAAGAGAGCTGCCATTCTTAACTGTACAGCTTCCCCAAAACCTCCAGTTCTCTTTGCCTCTGTCCTACCTTATTCTGGGACCCCTCCTGTTCCATCAAGTTGCCTCATGAGCTCAGCATTCCCAGCCAACCTTCCAGGGCCCCTTTCTCTGGAAGAAATTTATTAGGTTCAAACATGCCATTGAGTAATTCAAGTCTCTAGAGCCACCTTCTGATTGCTGTAGATGTCCCACCCAGAGCCCTCATCACTAGCCTCCCTGTCATGTCTCCTTCCATAGCCAAACTGTCTCCCAAATCTTACCCTGGAGACATCTTCCACTCCCCAAACTTCAGATTTGCCCTCCTGTAAACCAGGATTTCTCAACACTGTCACTACTGAAATTTTGGACCAAATAATCCTTTAAAGTGTGTGGGCTGTGTATTAAAGGATGTTTAGCAGCGTTCCTGGGCTCTACCCACCAGGTACAGGGAGCACCTCCTTCAGTTGTGACAGCCAGTGGCCCTTGAGGAATAAGATCTCCCCCAGACTGAGAAACATGCTCTAACCCCGCTCCGTTCCTAAGGAGCCCCTGTCTGCTCCCTTCATCTCACATGCTGCAGATTAAGGGAGATCCACACGGTAGATCCAGAATTCAGGGTAAAGGGGGGTTACTGGTCTTTCTCAGCATTCCTCTTCACTCCTCTTTCTTCTTCTATCCTCTGCTTCTTTTCTATGTGTTATTGTATTTCCTTTAATGTCTCTGATGCAAGTTTGGACCAAAGAAATGCTTATTTAGAAGCATTTTTATGGCCCTGGGCTGAGGTGGGCCAGAAAACCAACATTCAGACATTGGGTATAATTGAGGATGTCCTCTAAGGCTTCCATATGTCTTTTGGAAGGGGACAGTTTCCCAGTCCTGGGGGTGGAGAGGAGCTAAATACCAGGGTGTCTAAGAAATCTTGTTTGCCCAAGCTCTGATTCATCTCCCTTGTGTCATCCCAACCCCTTGAACTCTTCATATCCTTCCCTTCTCCAGACACGAAAGGCCTGTATTTCCAGGCATTTGGGGGCCGACGCCGCTGTCTCAATAAGAGCGTAGCCCCTCTGCTAGCCCATGGCTACCGCCGCTTCTTGCCCACCAAGGACCACGTCTTCATCCTTGACTATGCGGGGACTCTCTTCTTCCTCAAAAATGCCCTGGTCTCCTCCACCCTTGGCCAGATCCAGTGGAAGCGTGCCTGCCGCTATGTTGTGCTGTGTCGAGGAGCCAAGGACGTGAGTAGCAGACCTCTGCAGCTAAGAACCCACCCAGCCTTCGGGGACCCAGTGCCCACACCAAATTGCCTTCCCATAACTAGAACTGGAAAGCAAGTCCCCATTTCCCAGCTCTGCACCCAACTGTCTCATCTCCCACCCCAGCCTCATCCTACTCCAAGCCTTAGATCCCAGACACCTTTGTCTTTTCCTAGTTTGCCTCAGACCCAAGATGTGATACAGTTTACCGCAAATACCTCTATGTACTGGCTACTCGGGAGCAGCTGGAAGTGGTCGGCTCGACTGGCAGCCAGGCCTGTGACTGTGTCGAGGTCTACCTGCAGTCCAGCGGGCAGCGGGTCTTCAAGATGACCTTCCACCACTCCATGAGCTTTAAACAGATTGTGCTGGTTGGTCAGGAGACTCAGCGGGCTCTGCTGCTCCTCACAGGTGTGGCTTCAAGCAGTGCTTTGCAAACTGTTTTTTGCAAATTGTTGTCTGCAGATGCTTCAGGACCTATTGCAGGGGTCCTAAAGTAGGAGAGCGGGGAGGCCTCTCACACAGGGTTCTGCAGGCCATCTCAAACCAAATAGCTCTGTGTTCATCTGTTCCTAGTCTAAGATTATGTGTATTTCATATGAGTCAAGGGCCCTGCTTCAAATTCTCATCTCCCCAACCTCCATGCCAGGCATCTCATACCCCAGACTGCCCCCCTATTTTCTCAATGTTTCCTGTACTTGACCACACTCCCAAACCTGAGACCTTCTGGACTTCTTACTGCTATGTAGGGCCCTGAATCCCCAGATGTAATTCCCAACCTTCAGATTGGATTCTGCCAGATCTACTAGGTTTTCTCTCTACTGAAGGACTTCCTGATTTATTTTGGGTGGTAAGGAGCTGGAATCTGGGAAACCTGAGGTCACACTTTCCTTATTTCATCTCTACCCTTTTTCTACCATCCCCACTCTAGGGCAATAAACATTTCATTCTGTGTGGCTTAGGGGAGTCTCTTGGAAAGTTAATGTGGATATCGGAGGGTCCCTTCCTGCATATAATCATCTGTTCCCCCACCCCCCAGAGGAAGGAAAGATCTACTCTTTGGTAGTGAATGAAACCCAGCTGGACCAACCACGCTCCTACACAGTACAGCTGGCCCTGAGGAAGGTGTCCCGTTGCCTGCCTCACCTGCGTGTGACCTGCATGGCTTCCAACCAGAGCAGTACTCTTTACATTACTGGTAAGAACCACTTCCCTTCTTCTCCAGACCCCAACCTTGGACAGATCTTCCAAATAGAGACACCACTACCCTCAATCCCTATTCCAGCTCTGGGGTGGACACCTAGGGCATCCTAGTAAAAAGATGTTGTTTAAGCCCTTGCTGGCGTAGCTCAGTGGATTGAGTGCGAGCTGTGAACAAAGTTTCGCAGGTTCAATTCCCAGTCAGGGCACATGCCTGGGTTGCAGGCCACGGCCCCCAGCAACCGCACATTGATGTTTCTTTCTCTCTCTCTCTCTTTCTCCCTCCCTTCTCTCTTTAAACAAACAAACAAACAAACAAACAAACAAACAAACAAATTTTTAAAAAAGATGTTGTTTAGATTCCCAGACATCGTAGCTGGTGCTTTTTTAGTGAGCGTGAGACTTCTTGGATCTTGTGGTTTTCATCCAACATGAGGCCTTACCCTAGGAAATGGGTGTCCAAAGCTGCTGAGCTGAGGACACCCTACCCCCCAGACCAGGGGGGAGTATATTTTGAGGTGCATACCCCAGGGGTGTATCGTGATCTCTTTGGGACTCTTCAAGCCTTTGACCCCCTGGACCAGCAGATGCCACTTGCGCTCTCATTGCCTGCCAAGGTAGGATCCTGGAGGGATGGGGCAGAACAAAATTGGAGGGCCTTTAGGGATTGAAAGGTTCTGAGGGTCTGAAATATGAGCAGGAGTCAAATGATTGATCAGGGAGGGACCAGGGGCCCAGAGAGAGGGGTGACATAGAGGGCAAGGCCAAAAGAGATCACCCAGGGTTAGCAGGCTGGTGGTTGGGAGGTTTTGGAGTTCAAGGTTCCTCTGGAGGGAACTGAATGCCCATCTCGTCTCTCTCTCTCTCTCTCTTACCTTCTAGGTCCTATTCTGTGCTCTCGGCTACAATCACCTTGGTTTGGTGGATGAATTTGGCCGAATCTTTATGCAGGGAAATAACAGATATGGGCAGCTGGGCACGGGGGACAAAATGGACCGAGGAGAACCCACACAGGTGAGACTGTTTCCCAGCAATTTTCATCCTGATCCCCGCCTCCAATTTCCTCACCCCTGGATCTCTCCTCTTTTCCAGTTTCCATAGACTCCACTTCCTTCTCCCTAGGAGGTCAAGCCAAACGATATTTTGTGTGTCTTAACCCAGGGCTGACACTATGAGGTTTGTTCTGTGCAGCGCATGCTATAAGTGCCAGAGGAATTTAGTGAAGCAGGAAGACTAGGGGGGCTGGAGCAGCAAGAAGAGGTGAGATGTGAGCTGGGCCTAGTGGGTTGGATAGGAGTCAGGTAGGGATAGGGAGAGGCATCTGTGCCATGGAGACAGGGACAAAGCTGGCACATACCTGGGACAGTGAAAAGACTGGCCTGACCGGAGGAAAGAGGGCATTCTATAAATAGGCAGTGTGAGGTGGAGTGGGTGGGCATGAGCTTGGAGAAGTACAGACTTGGGAAAGAGTCGTCTGGGGTTCTGGAGCAGGGGAGGGCAGCGCACAAAGATGGCTGAGAACAGGCCAACTGGCTGGAGTGCATAGGAGGCTGCGAATGAGAGCCCACTGGGAGGCTGTGGAGTATGAGCAGCACTGGAAACAAGGGCCCGGGCTGGTACGGTGGCAGCGAGAAAGGAGAGAAATGGATATGTGAGATGTTTTGAAAGAAAAGGAACAGGCCCTGGAAACTGATTAGATGTGAGCAGACTCTGACAATAGCTCCCTTGAAGAAAGATGGTATCGGCAACAAACGTGTGAGCTGGTGACTCTGCTCTGAGGAAAGAGGATGAATTTGGGACATTTTTGCAGAGAGAGTAGAACAGTAAAGTGGGAATATTTTGCTGGCAATTTGGTTCCAACTTGGAACAAGGTTGAAATGACAAAAGCAGACCTAGAGGAGCAAACCTGGGCAGGAGCCGCCGTCATAGGCAGAGGGGACGGAAAAGTTGTCACTGACAGAGGAGGCATGCCCTCAAATGCCACGTCCCAGAAGTTTCACACAGGAGGAAGTGATTAATGGTGATGGTGATAATGTAGGAATATACTTTTCTGACATGGAAAATTGATCATGCCATATTTTTAGGTGAAAAGTATATGTGAAATGGTTTGCATAGTATGATCTCATTTTTGTTTTAAGAGACAACTTACAGTTGACCTTTGAATAATACAGGCGTTAGAAATACCAACCCACCACATAATCAAAAATCCACATATAACTTAAGTTGGCCCTCCACATATTTGGATTTCTAACCGTGGATTAAAAATACATTAGACCCTCAAACAACAGAGGTTTCACCTGCAGAGGCCCACTTATACACGGATTTTTAAAATCCGCATATAAATGGACCTGAGCTTTAAATCTGGGTATAAGTGGACCGTGCAGTTCACACCTGGGTTTGTTGGCCAAGTGTATGCATTTGTATAGACAGCAGTGAAAAAGAATATCCAGCAAGCTGCTAACAGTGGGTGGTGGGATTTCCAGTGATTTTTCAATTAATTTTTGCTCACCAATATCTTATGTTTCTATAATGACTATGAATTATTTATCTATATTTTCAAAATTAAAGCGCTCACAGTGTCAGGAGACAACATTCAGGAGAGGCCCTGGGATTTGGCTGCTGGGAGGTCGAGTACATTTGGAGAACATGTCAGTAAGCAGAGAAGAGAAAAGCCAGATCAGGGGAAGGTTCAGGAAGGACCAGCTGTGTTGAGAACAGGAATGTGGTCAGTCCCAGGCTGGTCATGTAACCAGGTCTTCTGCCTAAAAAACAGAATCAGGAGGAAATGTTTTTTTTTAAATAGGATAATATGAAAAACTGAAAATGATAGAGGGAAGTCCTTCCTGGAGGTTAACCTGGAATTGCAAAGGAGAGATTGTATCTTTAAGCCTGGGGAAGAGGAAGGGTATTCCTCAACCTGAGGCCGGAAGGCAGGATGAGAGGCTGGGCCGGCTGAGGCCTGTGGCGTGAGAACAAGGGGAGACCGCGGGCCCTGGCCTCAGGCACATAACCTATTTTCTGGGAAGCAAAGATGAGGAACCAACAAAAGTGCTAGACCCCATATGGTAGACCGTTTGGGGCCGCAAGAGAGCCAGTGAGGGAGAGATTGCTGCTGGTCTTCATTCAGCAGGGCAGACCACCTGGGGAAGGTGTTCTGGGTCCTGTTTCTTCCCTCTCCTAGTTTCCCGAGATTCTGCCCCGAGCCTTCCCGTCATCCTTTCTGACCCGGGCCCCCAGTGCTCTGATGTTCCCCCCTTAGGAGCCCTGGCCCTGTGTCCTCAGGTGCTTTATCTGCAACACCCCATTGCCCTGTGGTGTGGCCTCAACCACTCCCTGGTGCTGAGCCAGGGCTTGGACTTCAGCAAGGAGCTGCTGGGCTGTGGCTGTGGGGCTGGAGGCCGCCTCCCCGGATGGCCTAAGGGGAGTGCCTCCTTCGTCAAACTCCATGTGAAGGTCAGAGTCAGAGCGGGCAGGATTAGGCGAGCGGGCAACCAGAGAGGGCAGGTAGCCCACAGGATTGTATCTGGGACTCCTGCAGGGACCCTGGGACCCCATTTCCCCAGCACCACCCACCTACCTTTCCTGCCATGCACCATGGCTCCTGGCTCTTTTCCTTAGCAGATCCTGCTGGCCCTCCCTGACCTCATATAACCTCAGGGATCAGCCAGCCAGCTCACTCACTGGCTCAGGGCTGGTCTGATGGGGAAGGGTGCAACAGCTGGGGCTTGGTGGGAACCCCTCAGTAAAGGCCCCACTCAGCCACACCCCTTCTTTCCTCCCAGGTCCCTTTGTGTGCCTGCTCCCTTTGCTCTACCAGAGAGTGTCTCTACATGCTGTCCAGCCACGACATTGAGCACCATCCTGCCTACCGAGACCTGCCAGCCAGCAAAGTGGTGGGGACCCCTGAGCCCAACCCACGGGCCGGAGTACTCCAGGACCCTGGGGGGACAGCCTGGGCCTGTAAGGAGTACCTCAACCAGATCCACAGTTGTTCCACATTGCAGGACCGCATGGCAAAGATGAAGCAGATCGTGGGCTGGATGCCTTTGATGGCTGCACAGAAGGATTTCTTTTGGGAAGCCCTGGACTTGCTACAGAAGGCTGCTGGAGGGGTTGGCCAAGGCCCCCCCAACCCCTGAGAGTTGAGCACTCCTCCTAGTCTCTCCCCTGGAGGGAGAGGCTGGCTCTGGGCCAAAGGCTTAGGAGCGATGGAGTGGTAGCAAGGAGCACTGTGCCTGGGGAGGGGAGCACCGTGGGGTGGGGGCTGCTGGGCATACCAGGGTGGGGAGGGAACTGTTTTGTAAAATGTTCAGGGGGCTGCCCAGGAAGGGGCCCCCAGCCTCACTATCATGGACAAGAGATTTGATGGATGAATAGAATAAAAAGCTGAAGTAAGGCCCAGTTTGGAACCCTGGGGCCTGAGAGGACAGTGAGGCCGGGATGGGCTACCAGATGCCTGGCTTAGGGGGTGAGGGAGGGCAGGGACTGGGGCAGGCACAGCAGAAGCTGCTCAAGCTTTCAGGCTCTGCAGAGCTCAGAGCACCTCAGTCCTTGGTTTGCTTTCCCATCCACTCCCAAGGCCGGACCCAGGCTTCTCCACTGGAAATCCTAGCCCCACCTTCTGGTGCAACTCAGTCAACACATGCTACTCAGTGCCCCCGCTTGGATCCTCTTACTCTCATCCAGAGGAAGCCACATCTGACTTCAGAGAGTGTTCTCTCCATTTCCCTTCATCCCCGTGAAGCCAGCCTCTCTCCTCTCCGCTTTCTGTCTACCGTCCAGCTCTGGTCTCTCATGGCCTTTTCCCCTACTTTTTACTCCATCCTCTTCCTCCAGAAGGGAGACAGTCCCTTTACATGCCATGCCTCCCTGCCCCACTCCTGTACCTACAGGTAATGTGGGAGAAAATGGATGAGCAGAATTCTTTTCTCCTTGGTCTAGGCTAGACCGGGGGCTGAGAGAAGGCTGGAGATTTGGAGTGGAAAATCAGTTGGAGCAGGTGGTGGTCAGGAAGGGGGTGAATGCTTGAAGTCTGGGAGCCCAGGAAAGGACTTCCTGTGGATGCTAAGGAAGCATCAATGGAGAGAGAATCATGAGTGGCCTGGAGAGTCCTCGGGAAGGACTAGACGCTGTGTTCACACGGTGCTTGGGCACTGGACAGAGAGGGCTTCCAGATGGCATTACTTGATGCCTAGATTATGGCTGAGGGCCTGATGCTCCCTCCGCCCTTCGTTGCTCCACCCACTACTTAGGTCAGTATTTATGTGTCCTGTACGTAGAGAGGCCCCTGGACTCACCACTGTCCCGGCTGTACTCTCCCTGTCCCGCCTTCCCCACTGCCCTCCCCACTGGCCAGTCCCCACGCCCACACACCAGAGGCTGCCTCATCTGGCACCGATTATCCCTGCTGCTGCCGCTGCTGCCGCTGCTGCCGCTGCTAAACTCAGCTGCTGCCTCTGTCTTGAGGACCCCAGCGCCTCCCCCCAGCCATGCTGCCTGCTGCCACAGCCTCCCTCTTGGGGCCCCTCCTCACTGCATGGGTCCTGCTGCCTTTTGCCCAGGGCCAGAACCCGAACTACACCAGGTAGGTCTCTTGGCACCTTCCAGTTAGTTTGTTTCAAAAGCCAATTTCCGAGGGGTTGTGCCTGTGGATCTTGTGGATTCTTTTGCTGACACAACACCCCCAAGATCTCCCACAGCACCTACCCTTCTCTGGCCCCCAACTCTGTCCTCCCTGCTGCAAGACCACTGTCTCTTGCAGGACACCACTGCTCCCCATTTCTTCAACCTCTGTCCTCTGCCCTCTAAGTTTCGCCATTCACCTAGACCCTTCCCTCCCCACCCCCATGGAACCTGAGAGAGAGCCAAGACCTGAACTTGCCTGGTAGCTGGACAGCTGGATTCCAGGAAGGAATTAGAGATTATGGGAGAAAGCAGGGGCAGCAAGTGTAAGACTTGGGAGTCAGACACTCAAGTAGTTAGCTGGGACAGGAGCAGGGCAAAGGTTGGGAGCTCAGGGAGCCTGATCTCCAGGTTCAATTTCAGGGCCATCACTGCCGCTTCTCGACACTCCACCCCCTCCCCCGCACAGCCTCGTGGCTGTGTCTACATCTGGAAGTAGTTAGGCAGCTGCTCTGGACTGCTTGGCAGCGTGAGGGGGGAGGATTCCGGGAATTCCTGTCGGGATTGGGGGCTGGGACTGGGGCTTGGAGGTATAGCCAAGTTGCTGGCCCCACTTTTTCCTCATCTTCTACTGTAGTGTTTCCCACACCAATTCTATCTTGGCTGGCTGAGGCCATCCCAGATCCCTTAGGCCTTTCTCCCTCATCCCCCAGGCTTCCCTCTGTAGCCTCCCCACCCTCATTACCCTATTCCAGTCTGTTCACTGCTCCCTCACCCATGACTGACCCCTCTTATGTCCTCCAGACCCGTGTTCCTGTGTGGAGGGGATGTGACTGGGGAGTCAGGTTACGTGGCAAGTGAGAGTTTTCCCAACCACTACCCCCCCAATAAGGAGTGCATCTGGACAATCACGGTGAGAAGGCCCCTCTGGTCACTACCCCTTGTCAAAGTCTCCAAGGCCTGAATTCAGGCTGCCAAATGCCTTCCCCCAGTACCACCACTTCTCCCCAGGGAAGTCTGGGAACCCTCCCCTCTGATCACTGATGTTGTCAGTGTCCACAACAATACATGGCAGTGTCCTCACCCTTAACCTCTAATCCAAAGCCTGTCTCTCCAATCCCAACATCATTCCTGCCCCTGCAATCTCAGGGATTGCCACAAGCCTAGTGCAGAGTCCAGGCCCTCTGCTCTCCACCCGGACGGGGTCCTTTTTTGTTCAGACCCAAGTTTCTCTAGGAAATGCTTTGGGGAAAGGAAAGTGCCCTCTGCCTGCGTTGTCTATGACCTGCCTTTGTGGGTCCCCACCGCTGTCTCTGCAATCAGGTCCCCGAAGGCCAGACTGTGTCCCTCTCCTTCCGAGTTTTTGACCTGGAACTACACCCTGCCTGCCGTTATGATGCTCTGGAGGTCTTTGCCGGGTCTGGAACCTCGGGCCAGCGGCTTGGACGCTTCTGCGGGACCTTCCGGCCAGCGCCCATAGTCGCTCCTGGCAACCAGGTGACCCTGAAGATGACAGCAGACGAGGGCACAGGAGGACGAGGCTTCCTGCTCTGGTACAGCGGGCGGGCCACCACGGGCACTGGTGAGACCTCCCTTACCTTCGCCTTCCCCCTCTCCTGGCCCCACCCCGACACGTGCCCTGCCCCCAGCCTTAACCTCCCAGGTCCCCATTGCCTCCCTTTCCCTTTTGCCTCACTAACTGCCCCTCCAGTCCCTCCTCCCCGTCTTCTCTCCCTCTCCTGCTCCCACCCACCCCCTCTTCCAGGCCCCACCCCAGGCGCAAGGCGGAAATGGGTCACCGACCCGCGGGTGGAATGGGCGGCCTGGGGTTACTGGGACGGTGAGTAACTGCCTGCCCCCGTCCGCAATCGGGCTCCCTCTGGCAGGCGCGAGGGGTACCCCCAGGAAGGGGGACCAGGTTCCCCCGACCCGGAGTCCCCTTCACCCAGCCCGGGGCTCCCGATTGCGGTCCCATCACCCTTTCCTGGTGGCAGAAGTCTTCCCTAAAATGTTTAAGGCAAGGACCTCCCAAAGGGGCCTAGGAAGTTATGCCCCAATTCGAGGGAACCCTCACAGCGTGGGGACTCTCCAGCCTGCAAAGGGGACTTCTCTGCCGGGCGGGGGAGATGGGATCTACTAGGGGAAGAGGAACGGTGTGGCAGCGGGTCAGGGGGAGGGGCAAGAAGGGGCGTGTCTAGCCAATTCCTCCTCCCCCTTCCACAGCCAGCCTGGGCGCCAGGAGGTCCTAGACTTCCCTGAGCCTCACTCTTCCTGTGCTAACCTACCCACCTTTTTCCTTACCCTCTTCTCGCCCCCTCATCCTGAGACCCCGACATCGACCTTCCTGCACGAGCTCCCAGTCTAGAGCTCTTCTCAAGCTGACCGAGGGTCTCCACTGCCCCCCACCCCCACTCCTCTCTCCCCTCCCCAGAGCACCAATTTTGCGGGGGGCGGCTGGAGAAGGCCCAGGGAACCCTGACCACGCCCAACTGGCCCGAGTCTGATTACCCCCCGGGCATCAGCTGTTCCTGGCACATCATCGCGCCCCCAAACCAGGTACCGACCCTCTACCCGGGCTGCTCTCGGGACTGAGCAGCGTCCCCCAGCATGCAGCTAGCAAGAGCATCTGCTATGTCCTAAGCACTGAGCTTAGCTGGTGGGGAGCAAAAACACACCCAACGTGATTGCATGCAAACAAAAAATGTAAAATTACACCTGGGACCAGCGAGGTATCTAATGCTGATAAACTGTGATGGTTTGTGTGGGGGCCGGGGGAGGAGAAGGAGGTAGAAGAGGCAGATTCTTGGTCTATTCCTTGAGAATGAGCCAGGACTTGACCTTGCCCACTATGGCAAGGGACACCACTGCAGGGTTCTGGTGTGTGTGTGCTCCTCCAAGTGGCTGCAATATGAATGCATTAAGAGAGAGGGTGCGGAGGGATGTGAGAGGAGGCTGCTGCAAGCATCCCCTAAGTGGGTAGTACGCAGAGGAGGTGAGAGGTACCGAGCAGCCTCTGCCCTCTGCCCTAACCTCAGGTGATCTCGCTGACCTTTGGGAAGTTTGACGTGGAGCCGGACACCTACTGCCGTTATGACTCAGTCAGCGTGTTCAACGGAGCCGTGAGCGATGACGCCAAGAGGCTGGGGAAGTTCTGCGGAGACACAGCCCCTGGGTGAGGGGGCGGGACCTGGGTGGGTGGCTGGGCCTGGTGTCTCCACCTTCCCAGGTGCCGGAGTCCAACCCTGCCACTATTGGGAGGGGTGGGGCTTAGCTGAAGAGGTGGAATCTGAACCCGCCAGCCCCCAACCAGTGGGTGGATCAGGTAGGGTACCAGGCTCCGCACTAGGCCCGTGGTTCGTGGATACAGAGACGAGTGGAGCCTACGACTACAAAGTCAGGAATCTAATGCAGCCAACCAGGGAGCAGAGGTTAAAACGCCACTGGCCTGGGTAGAGGCCAGGTACAGGCCCTTGACGCCTCCCCCAATGCCCCACCGCTGCCCTGCCCGCAGTCCCATCTCCTCCGAAGGGAATGAGCTCCTCGTCCAGTTCGTCTCGGACCTCAGCGTCACAGCCGATGGCTTCTCAGCCTCCTACAGGACCTTGCCACGGGGCACCACAAAAGAAGGGTTGGCCCGGAACCCAGGGGAGGATGCCCGGCCAAGACCCCCACTCCTTGGCCCGGGTCCCAAGCCGGGAGCTGAGCCCAAAGTCAAGCCAGAACTCCCACCTGCAGAGAAACCAAAAGCCTCACCTGAGGCCGAGGCACCCGCCGTGGGCTCTGGTGAGTGTGGGAAGGGGAAGGAAGGGGACACAGACTGAGGAAGGTGTATCAAAGAGTTCCTCCCTGGGCCCATTCATTCATTCATTCATTCACACAACACTCACTGGTGTCACCTGTGCTAATAACGGGTGCTGGGACCCAAAGCTGAATAGAACTCTGAACAAATTCAAATCAATGAGGCTGTTATAGGGAAAGTGGTCCTTCCTACTAGCTGGGTAGGTTAGCTTCCACAAACAATGCCACCTCCCACTCCTAGATGCACCCAGTGTCACCTGCCCAAAGCAGTGCCGGCGGACAGGCACCTTGCAGAGCAACTTCTGTATCAGCAACCTGGGTAAGAAGCCTCATTCACATGCTCTGCTCTTCCAGCTCCCTAACTTCCCCTCCTGTCCCCAAAGTGCCCCTCCTCTGGTTCCAACCCTGCCCTTGCCTCCTGTCTCCTGACCACTCACCCTCACTCTCCCATAGTGGTGACCGGAACAGTCAAGTCCATGGTTCGGGGCCCAGGGGAAGGCCTCACTGTCACTGTCAGTCTCATTGGTGCTTATAAAACCGGGGGCCTGGACCTGCCCTCTGCACCCACAGACACCTCCTTGAAGTTTTATGTGCCCTGCAAGCAGTGTCCCCCCATGAAGAAAGGTAATAGGGATGTGGGGTAGAGGAGAGGGGAGGGGCATTTGGCCTCATGGAAATGATAAGGCGGTAAAATCTGAGGGGCTTGGATGACAATGTACATCTACAAGGTATATAACATGATCCCTCAATCCCTCTTTCCCCTTCCCCCAGGAGCCAGTTATCTGCTGATGGGTCAGGTAGAAGAGAACAGAGGTCCTGTCCTCCCTCCAGATAGCTTTGTGGTTCTCTACCGGCCCAACCAGGACCAGATCCTCACCAACCTCAGCAAGAAGAAGTGCCCCTCCCAGCCTGTTCGGGCTGCTAGGTCCCAGGCCTGAAACCCAGGTCAGCCTCGGACCTTGGCTCTAGAGACCCATTTTTTTTATCCAAATAAATGTTCCTTTACTGAGGAAGGGGCCACATACCCATTTCTATGGTTTTGGTGCCCATCTTGGGGATTTATATTCATTCATTCATTAAACTCAACAGACATTTACTATACAGAATCATCTTTTAAGAACCTAAGTTGGATCTTGTCACCCCTTTGCTCAAAATTCCCCCACACGCAAACACACACACACAATGGTAACATTTAGAGATAAGGGATATGTTAATGAGCTTGATTGTAGTGATCTTTTCACAATGTATACAAACCATCAAGTTGTAGACCTTAAATATACACAAGTCCTATGTTAAAGATATCTCAAAGCTGTTAAAAAGAAACTTTATGTAAGCACTCTCCTATAGTTTTCCATCAGTCTCAGAATGAAATCCAAAGTCCTACTGTGGGCTCGAAGGCTCTAGATGATTTGCATCCTTCATCTCCCCTCCTCTCACCTCCCTTAAGACCACTATTCCAGTCACACTGGCTCCTTGACCATTTCTGGTACACTGGCTTTTTGCCTGTGCTATTCCCCCTATTTGGAATTATGTTGCATAGAGAGCTCATGGCTCAATTTCTAACTTCAATCAGATCTCAGCTCAAAGTGCATTCTAGTCATTTGTACATTTCAAATCACATGCGCTGATTTAGGCACCGAAAGTACAACAAAATAAAGTCCCTGTTCTTGTGGAGCAGAGATAAACAGTAAGATAAACATAAAGACAAGTAACTCTATGAATGCTGTGAAGAAAACAAAAGCGTGATTAAGAGGACAGACAAGGGAAATTCTACATTTGATTGCGTGCACAGGGAGGGCTTTCTGATAAGATCGACCTTGTCTTTGTTCCACTGCTAACCAATTGTGTGGCCTGGGGGAAGGCTGTACAACTGGCTGAAGTTTCTTCATCTGTAAAAGTTGAAGATTTGGAGTGATTATTTAAGTGGCAGGCTTGGTAAATCTTAATTCCCTGAGTGAGTGAGTTCAGAGTTCCATGCAGGAAGGAGAGAATCAGGAGAAGAACACAGGACTGAGACTGGAGTCCAACTGGGAGAACCTTCAACTAGTACTGCGGGAAATGGCCTGGGTTGTTGCAGAAGCTTTTAGGAGAGCCTGGGATTGAAATGGAGAGAGAAGGCTTCTTTGTGGGTTGGGATTCAAGCAATGTGGACGGTCTCAGAGCGCGGGGGAAGAAACAAAGCCCGCTCTCACGCTCGTCCGGTCTCTCCAGGGATAGAGTTCTAGATAGACACCAGTAGTTTTCTGTCACTAGGATCCTGCCAATCCCCTCTTAAACGTACCAATCAGCTTATATTTGTGGCGGAAATGAGGCCTCCCTGGCCAATGATAGAAGCCGTATGGCGGAAGTGCTGAAAGGGTTTTTTGGGCAGATGGCAGCCTAGGTCTGGTCACAAATTTGATTGGCAGGTACTGTCACCAGGAGGTGAACCTCGTAGCACCAGCGGCGGATCGGAGGCAGAAGCCCAAAAGAGCGCGGGCCTGAGCTGAGGAAGGTGTCGGAGGCACAGATAAGGTCTCTAGGGGCAGGCGGCGGACAGGGCAGCTCCTAAGGAGACCGCTGCGGCAGGCGGAGTCTGGCCCGAGAAAGGGGGCGGAACCCCGGGCTCCCGGAAGGGGTGGGTCCTGGTGGAACGGAGCTTCTGTAAATGTTGAGCCAGACCTAGAGATAAAGCGGGAGTTGGAAGCCGCAAGGGGCGGGGTTTACCGGGTGGGCGTGATTATCCAGGTGGGGCTTGGGGCCGGGCCTAAAGGGAAGGGACGCTGCTGAAAAGGGGAGGGTTTCAGAGGCCAGGGCCTAGTCTGCGGAAGCCTGATCTAGTAGAGTTCCAAGGCGGCGGCGGTGGAGGCATCAGTCCATAATGGCCCCACGATCTCATCCATTCCCTTTCGCCCCTCCCGCCTCCCAGCTCTAGACTCCAGGCCCTGTCCCCCGAGCTCAGCCCTCCGATGTCCCACCGCCCAGAGCCTGCATGCGCCGCAGGGCGCCCCAAGACCAAGAGCTGGTGGGTCCAGGAGCTCCTGGGCGGGAGTCTAGGGGCGCTCTTCCTCCCTCGGGACCTGTTGTCCCGGTCCTTGTCTTTCCCCCGGATCTAGTATTCAGGGCGGACCAACGGAGCGGACCCAGGCAGCTGCTGACCCTCTATAACCCCACAGGAGCTGCGCTTCGCTTCCGAGGTGAAGGGATGGGCACCTCCTGCTAGGAGTCTGGGGGCTGGTGGCAGTATATTGGGGGCCTGTGTGGGCTGGACGAGTGAGATGAATATGGGCAGAAGTCCGTCCTTGGTGTACTGGAAGAGTCATGTGGAGCCATGGGAGTAGAAGGCAAGGGGGACTCTAGTGTGCCTTCATAGGAAAGACTTGTGTAGGGTCTCTGAGGCAATAGTCGGTCTCTCTGTGCCTTTATCCCCCAGTCCTGTGCACAGCACCTGCCAAATACACAGTGTTTGACGCAGAAGGATACGTGAAGCCTCAGTCCTGCATTGACATGTGAGTTGGAAGGGTGGGGAAGCCAGAGGCCACTGCTACCTTTCTCTGAATAACTGAGCAGTGGTCTAAGGTCTCAGACCTGATCCTTTTTAACCCTTTTCCCTCCACCCTTCATCTGCAACCCTATGGGAAAGTTTCCTAGGAGGGTGGGGCCTGGATCCACTTGGATCACTGCCTCTCACTTCCTCTCAATGGGCTTCTCTTCTATCTTGGGACCAGTGTGATTCGCCACGTGGCCCCCATTGCCAGCCACTATGATGTCCAGGACCGCTTCCGAATTGAGCTGTCTGAGGAGGGAGCTGAGGGCCGAGTGGTGGGGCGCAAGGACATCACTTCTGTTCTGAGGGCCCCAGCCTACCCCCTTGAACTTCAGGCACAGCCTGACCCAATGCCCCACCCAGGGCCTCCTTCCTGGACAGCACCACCCACGGCCAGACACCTCCCTGAGAGTGAGTTGGGGGATGGGAATTCTTGAGTTCTGTAGGGAGGGAAGACATTATCCTAGAGATGAGCTCAGTTGGAGTTACAGAGGTCTTCTGATTGAGTCTGTTGCTTTTTGATGGAAACATTCCTAGGAGTTGAGATTTTGTATCAGGTTAGGGAATAAGCAGATTTTGCAGTTTCCCTGGTTTCTGACTTCTATTTAGGTGGAAAAGTTCTTCCTTAGCTTTAACTTCAGCATTTTCTATCATATGCCAGCTCAGTTCAGTTCCATAAGAAACCTGTACTGAGCAATTGTGCCACACCAAGTTGTATGCTGAGTCTGGAAGATAGAGTTTCCTGCCTGACCGATATGTACACTGAAGCCAGTAATCAGGAAGAATGAAGGGAGGAAAAATATGCTGAGGGACCAGAGGAGAGAGGGTTTCTGTGGCTGTGGAGACAGAGGCTCCAGGGAGGAGAGGACACTTGGCATTGTGCTCCTGGAGGGCAATAAAAAGTGTCCACACCTTCTGTTTTTAGTCTCCTCCCTGGAGGACCTTGGGGTGGGAGGAGTTGGGGCTGGAGCTTCTGACAAGCCTTGTTTCCCAGAATCCCACCCACAACTGGCCACCAGCTCCTTCCTCCTCTTCTTGCTGACGGGCATAGTCTCTGTGGCCTTCCTGCTGCTCCCACTCCAGGATGAACTCGGCAGCCAGCTGCCCCAAATCCTGCACGTCTCCCTGGGACAAAAATTGGTGGCAGCCTACGTCTTGGGTAAGCACAGTAGTGGCAAGGAAATCTGGGCCCCAGAGAAAGAAGGGTGGGCACTGGGAAGAGGGCTTCCAGAGCTCCAGTGCTGCTAATACAACCTTGCTCTTTCTCCCCTCTGCAGGCCTTCTCACCATGGTCTTCCTCCGGACCTGATCCCCTGCTCAGCCTCTCCCCCTTTCCCTGGGCAGAGATGTGGATGAGAGACAGCCACTGTGATGCTCATACCTTGCCTCAACTCCTACTCCCTTATTAATGCCACTCCCTTCACCCCTGACAAAAAATACCCAGGGATTTGTATTCATTTTCCAAGTTGAATAAAATAAATTTGCAAAACTAAACAGAAAAACGTAGGGAGCGTGCCCTTTCTTTGTACTGCTTTTCCTCCAGTTCCTCCTACTCCCATCCCCAGGGAACCCAGGCACCTGGGCCAGGATTTAAAACACCTGGGTTCTTGTTCTGGCACTGCACCAAAAAAAAAAAAAACCTGTGACCTTGAGCAAGTCCTTTAACTTCTCTGAGTGTCAGTTTCTACCCACTAAGTGAAGGAATTGAAAAAGTTAGTTCTTTACCCCCACACCGCCCCTACCCCTGCCTCTTTGGCAACATCAGCTTGTTCTCTATCTAATGGACCTGCTTCTGTTTTGTTTATTCATTTGTTTTTATTGTTACATTCCACATATAAGTGAAATACAGTATTTGTCTTTGACTTATTTCACTTAGCATAATGCCTTTTGTGTCCATCCATATTTTCACAAATGGCAAGGTTTCATTTTTTCATGACTGAGTAATACTCCAATGTGTATGTGTGTGTGATATCTTCTTTAACTACTCATCTATTGATGGACACCTGGGTTACTTCCGTATCCTGGCTATTGTAAAGAATGCCAAAATGAACATCAGGATACATATATCTTTTCAAATTATTGTGTTTTTTTTTAAATATTTTCAGAGAGAAGGGAAGGGAGGGAGAATAAGAGGGAGAGAAACATCAAGTGGTTGCCTCTAGCAGGTCCCCAACTGGGAACCTGGCCTGCAACCCAGACATGTACCCTGACCAGGAATTGAACCAGAGACCTTCCAGTTCACAGGGCGGCGCTCAATCCACTGAGCCGTGCCAGTCGGGGCTATTCTTTTCTTCAGATAAATACCCGGAAGTGGTATTGCTGGGTCATATGGGAGCTCTATTTTTAATTTTTTGAGGAATCTTCATACTTTTCACATAGTGGCTGTACCAAGTTACAATCTCAGGGGCAGTTGATTCTTAAGATACCCTTTAGCCCCATAAAATAGGATCCTGTCCCTATGCCAACATATCTAAGCTCAAAATAAAAAATACCACCTGCTGTAGAGCTCAGGTCTCACTGTCTCAAGCCACTGGAGCCTTTTGCCAGGGCTGCCTGGATAATTCCAATCCCCAGAATCCTCTTCGGTCTTTTTGTTCCATTATCTGCTTTTATTTTGTCTCTTCCTTTGAATTCAAGTCATGTGGGTCAGAAACACCAAGGTTCCTGAAGATGGGGGAAATAGCACTCCCTGACATAACTTAACTTAGGCAGCAGACATGAAGGCACAGTAAAAGAGTAGGATCCTCAAAAGGCAGGCTTTGAGCCCTCCTACAGATGCAGGGGGAGGGGCAGGGAAGGGAAACGGGCATCCGGCAACAGTAGCAGATTGTTAATTGGAGACAAAAATCAGCAAGATAATCTTAAGAGAGACTCGGTCTGTTATGCTGCTGGAAGATTATCAGTTGTTCCGGCTTTACTCTGGGGGTCTTGGGAGCTGCCCCACTGCCCAGGGAGTCTGGTTCCTCCCACACCTAGAGCTAGCCCCCGTGGGATGTGGCCCTGCTAGTGTGCAGAGAATGGCTCTACAGCCTGAGTCAGGAAGTATGAGAGGGTTCTTACCATGGCCCAGCGAACCCCTCACCCTTCAGACTGGGCTGGCTGTGCCCAGGTCCCCGAAATGGATTTTAGGTATCATACGCTAATGATCCTGCTGGTATTGGGTGTGAAAAGGCCTGTTGCTGGTGTGATCAGGAAGGCTTTCTGGGACACAGCTATAGGACTGCAAGTGCTACAGAACAAATGGGGGGGGGGGCTGGGACGATATACTACTACTGAAAGAAGCCTCCAGGTCCATTATGTCCGCCGCCAGAGGAAAAATGTCTCTCAATGCCAGAGATTCATGAAAAGGAAAGTAAATGTTTATTTAATGCTATACAAACTTAAAGTAGTGACCTAATGTCTTTACCAAAATCCCAAAGTCCCTTAAAACACCCACAAACAGACACAGTTCTTCCTTCCCCCTTTGCCCAGTCCAGAGTACCGTATCTCAGGAAAGGAAATAGAAGTCCATGGCTCAGGCAGTCCTCTGGTTATTCCCAGTTAGTACTCAATGCCGACTGGGAGACCTCCCTGGGTTCCTGGCACCCTCGGCTGAGTCGCCGGGATCTCTACTAAAACCAGGTGGTGGTTCCCCCTTCTAAAGCTGCGCATGGTTCTCCCTCTCAATGGCTGCCCCCTCTGGGTTTAAATCCCCGCGCCAGTCTTCCTCTGCAGCCCCATTTCCGACTCCTCCCACACTCGCCTTCACATGCCAGAACTCATACCCTTCCAGCTTTACTGGACTGCCATCATGAGTCTGGGCAGGTGTGGCCCCAAGTCCTGGAGCCAATCATTTCCAAGCTCCCATGCAGGTGCTGTAGCTGCGGGGGGGGGGGGGGGGATCTGCCCCCAGTCACATCTTGGTGGGGAAGTTACTTCCATTCCCCTGGCTCAGGGCATGGCCACAGCTATTTAACATATCTAAGCGACCAGCCAAAGGCTATAGATATGTTAAATGACCACGCCAGAGGTTAGCTGCAAGGCTGTTGCTATGCAAAACAGCTCTCAATGGCCCTGCTCCATTTGTCCCTTCCCCCAACCCACACCTGGGGAGTGGGAGTGAGGACATCCAAAAGTCCCCTGTACACCTTGAGTTCTGGACCCCATTTCAAATGCCCATTTGGGGTCCCCCCTCTTGACTGCACCCTGTAACACAAGGAGCTGGGGAAACAGACTTTTATTTGAGCAATTTTTTAAGGAAAGCAGTGCTTGTAGAAGCTCAAGTGGTTGTGTATTAGTTTTTGTGGCTATTTTAAGAATTTACTACTAATTTAGTGGCTTAAAACAACACAAATTAATTCTATACTTCTGGGAATCCGAAATCCAAAAAGCATCTTCTGAGGATAAAAATCAATGTGTCAGCAGGGATGCCTCCCTTCTGGAGGCACCAGAGGAGGAGGTTTCCTTGCCTTTCTAGCTTATAGAGGCCATCTGCATACCTTGGCTTGTGGCCTCTTCCTCCATCTTTCAAGCCAGGAATGGAAATAACAAATGATCATTGTTTAAAATCACTTTTAAAAAACAACTAGGAGTGTAACATTTTTAAATCTCTGACACATACCCTCTGCTTCTGTTGTCATATCTACCTTATCTGCGGTCTTCCTGCTTCTTTTACAAGCACACTCCTTGTGTTAGTTTGCTAGGGCTGCCACAGACTGAGTGGCTTAAACAACCAAAATCTATTTCTTCACAGTTCTTGAGGCTGGAAGTCCAAGATCATGGGGTTGGCAGGTTTAGTTTCTCCTGAAGCTTCTCTCCTTGACTTGCAGGCAACCACCTTCTTGCTATGTCCTCCCACAGCCTTTCCTCTGTGCATGTGCATCTCTGATGTCTCTGTGTCCAGCCTCCTCGTCTTATAAGGACACCAGTCAGAATGGAGTAGGACTGACCTTAATGGCCTCATTTTAACTTACCTCTTTAAAGGCCCTATGTCCAAATACAAACATTTGGAGGTATTAGGGGTTAGAGCTTCAACATATAGATCTGGGGGCACATAATTCAGCCCATAATCCTCCCCATGTCAAGATCCTACACTTAATAACATCTGAAAATCCTTTTTGTTGTAAGGTAACATTCATTCAGTTTTGGGGGATTAGGATGTGTGTTGCGACCCGCCCTGCCTGGTATCAGAAGCTGTAACCCCCGCCTAGGCTAAGGCTGAGGGAACGACCTTGGAACCATAAACCACCAAGGAGACAAGCTTATTTCCCTGGCAGGAGTGCTGCTTCTGCTACTTCATCCATAACTGGCCCCCAATGCTTGGTTGGTTAGCCAATGACGGGTAAGATTCCCCAAGGGGGGAATGACCTAAGACAGGGACGATCACGTGGGAGGCCCCCAAGAAAGGACTTTGGGGGCTACGGCAAAAGGGGGTGATGGACCCTTGCCCCTCGGCTTTGACATAGCCTGAGTCCTCATTGTCTGAAAGAAAATCTCCTTATCTCTTGGTTGCCTTAGTTCCCTTGCTCCACCTAAGCCTGAAACAATGACAGAGGGTGGTGCAGTCCTGTGCTGAAAAGGGTGGGTTTCCCGGGTGATCAGGCCTATATGTAAAATCCTGTGAAACCTGCTTTGTTTAGAATGCTCTCAGTTGAATGATAAGGGTCCAAGGAAGAAGTAAGTTTATTCCTTAAAGTTTTACAGTTCTTTGACCCTGACTCAAAATAGGCCCTCAGACTTCCTTGTTACCTATTGTTTGATCCTTACTTCCTAGCAATGAGTAATGAGCTTTACCTGAATTCTTATGCAAACAAACCAAAAAAAAGCCTCTCCTGCGGGGGAACGGGGCACCCTCCAGGAGAGAGGGTGGCCATGGCGCTCTCCCCACCAGAGAGAATGGCCATCCCATTCCTACTTCCCCACAGGACTTGGTTGTCTCTGTGTATGTTTTTCTCGAGTGTTGACGAGCCATCCACAGTGTTCCACAGTCACTGCCAGCCAGTGATCGTGACAGATGTGGACCTCTTTGCCCAGATCATTATTCTGTCTACTACCGGGCACGAATGAACAGGGTGAAGAACAGCTGAAAAAAAAAGCCACTTTAGAAGGTTTGTTTTGGACTGTGTGTCTCAGGGAAGCAAACAACCTGAGGAGGGTTCTGATCCCAGTTCAGTCTCCTGAGATCTCACCAAGCCAGGCTCGGGGCTAGGGAGGAGGCAGTTTCATCCTGAAACCCACGCCGCAGTCTAAGAGGTCTTTATGTCCCACATCCTGAGGATGTGGATGGGACTTCTCATGCCATACTGGGAGTGAGGGAGGACCAAGTAGCCTGAGAGGCAGGCCCTGGGGTTTCTGCAGCTGCCCTGGGAGTGACAGCCAGGGCCACAGCCGGCTGAGACCAAGATGAAAGGTAAAGTGGTGCCAGCAACGCTTGTAATTCTTTGCCCTCCTGCAGCTTCCAGCTCAAGGGACGAAGATTGGCCAAAGTGGACCCTGGCAGAAAGAGGTCCCAGGCTGGGCCTATCTAACTGGTGTTTGAGCACTGTAGTCTCCCAAGGCCCCATGCTCAAGAGAGAGTCCTGTGTTTGGAGTTAATGCTCCATGGTCACTGTCTTGACATTCTTGATGATTCTACCTTTGAATTTATGTTTTAGAAGTGGTCTGATGGGACAGGGGAGCATGTGCTAGTGTCCTGCCTCCCCTGGATGCGTTCTTGACTTCTAGATCCCTGCTCCTACCAGGTGACCGTTGCCACCCTCCTTCCCTGGCAGGAACCTGGGTGTAGGCACAGGGAAGGTCTGGGTCTAGGTCAGGGTCAGGTACATCTGTACCAAGTTATGGGGCAGAACCCAGCATGCCTATGGGGATCTGCACCCGAGTATTTCCCTGTCTGAGGGATATGGACACTAAATAGCAAATAAACACTATGACAGGTTGGGTGACTGTAGAAGAGAGAAAATGGCTTTGGCGTTGCTTTATGAACATGAAGCCCTGTGTTTTTTATTTGCACCAGAACTTACACCACATGTGGCCTGTCCCCGGTCCCAGGAGGAGGTACAGAGTCAGCGCCCCAACCCATGGTGGTGTTTGGAGAAAGGGCTCTCCCGATTTCCTTAGACAGATTCCTTCCTTAATAATGAAACATCTCCGAGTTTTCCCCACGGAGACAGCATTCTCACTTGCATCCTCCCCAGCCCCTTCTACTTAAGACCTGGGGAAGGTCTTAAGTAATGGATGCTCGAGTGGGATGAGGGTGAAGAAGCATAAAGGTGCTTATAAACAACATGCCCAGGTGGTTTATTGAAGTTTAAACTCCAGCCCCTCTTCCCAAACACCACTCGTTGGCCATAAGGTCCCAGCCATCTCTCCCACCAAGAGCTTCCCAGAGCCTAGGAAACTTTCCAGGGTGGGCCCTAGGTGCGAGGGACCCAGCTCCTGAAGAGCAAGGGGCTGTGACCGATGGAGCAGATGCCGCCATCTGATTAGCTGTATGGTGGTCCCTTTTGGAAGGGACTGCTCACCTGCTCCTACACTGCAGAGCCAAGAGTGTGTGGGTATTTTACACTGGACCCCTAGGGAGACTAGAAGAGCTAATGAAAAATCAGTCAGCAATGAGTGTTGCAGTCACCCAAAAATCGCTGAAATGGGAAGAGCTGGAGCTCTTAGCCTGGAGCAGGGTCATGTGACCCTCCCCCCTCAGAAGTTATTATCTATGTTCCAGACGTCCCCGCTGAGTGCGTTGGCGGCCCCCTGCAGCGTCCAGGTGAGCAGGGCCAGCTGGCGCCTGAAGCGGCTCTCCTGGAAGCCCAGGCCAGGCATCACTCCAGAGGAGGCAGCCCCCAGGGCCCCGGAACCGTTGGAGCGCAGCAGCCGCACGTGGTCGAGCAGAGCGCCCAGCGTGTGATCTCCGCGGCCCAGGAAGATGTGGCGGAACGGGGAGTCGGCTGGTGACACGTACTGGGACAGGAAGTAGAACTCCACCTGAGCAGAGAGGGTGATCAGATCCAGGGTCGGGCTCTGGCCACGAGTGAAGGCCTGAACACCCACTCCAAACCGATACTGGAACCTAGTGCCAGCTTAATACACAGTCGAGCAGCTTAAGTCCCACCTCCCTTTGGCTACCCAGTCAGGAGTGGCCACTTTGTACGTCACTAGTAACCTTGTAGGAATCGTCCTCCAGCTGTGTTTTGGGTTGAACCCCTTTCTTTTCCTCCCTTAAACCTCCAGGTCTGCATGTAGGTCTCCCCAGCCTTCCCTTCTCACCACTCACTTCCCTGCCGAGAACCTCAGAGAACAGTCTGGTCCCGCTGTCCCTAACTTTCCCATACCCAGACATTCCGCCTCACCTCTGCCAATGTCCATAGCCCCAAGTCACAGGTCAAGGAGACAGCCCAGTCCTAATGAAGTGCCTGACTCTGTCCTCACCCTCTGACTCAGCTGCTGTTTGTCTGTCCCGAGATGGCCTTGCTCCTACCCCAGTTCTCCTCCCACCTTTCTGCCAGCCTCCCTGTTTCCTTCTGCTCCCCCAGTGGGCGGGCCCAAGGTTTAACATCTGCCTTCTGCTCTTCGCTGCACCTACAGTCCAATGGTTTTCAAATCTGGCTGCATATTAGAATCACTAGGGGAAGATATTTAAGATACTACCACTGCCTCAGCACCACCCAGCAAAATCAATCTCCAAGGGCAGTCTCACACCCTCATACCTCCTTAAGGCCTCATTCATTCACAAGCCCATCCATATCCTTAACTTCAACCAGGACCTTGTGGGGACAGCTGGCAATTCTACTTGATAAATCATTTACTAGAATCCTGCCCTCCAGCCTCCTGGGCCTCCTCACTGGGGCAGGGGGCACCTGGACACAGCCTCACACATGTGGGCACCAACTTCTTCCAAAACTCGACCCTTGCACCCACACTCCCTCCTGAACACCATGGTCTTCCTCAGATGCCAGGATCTCAGCCCCAAAGGTGAGTGTGAGGGGGGTGAGCACAGACTTTGGAGTCAGACTGCCTGGTTTCTACTGCTTACTGAGATCTCAGATATATTACTTAGCCCACTGGAGCCTCGGTTTCTGTGCACAGTACTAGCAACCTCACAGAATTTGGGGGACTCTTGAGAAAGAAAAGCCCTAGCACATGGTAGCCCTTAATACATGGCAACTGCTGTGATTCTCCTCTTCTCTCAACACCCAGTCTGTCCATTTTACTTGCAAGTGTCTCACATCGGTGCAGTCGCCTCACCCACAGGTGGCACACGCTGCCACCTGCCACCCTCACCCAGAGCTAACACCATTCTGTCTTCAGGCTGTTTACAACTCCAGCCAAATCCTTCCTAACACTGCACTTTGCTCACATCGTCTCCCTGCTCAAACACCTTCCTTGATGCCCAGACCCTAAAAAACCAGTTCTCATCCTGATATCTAAGGCTCCCCATAGTTGGTCTCTAACTCACTACCTGGTGCTCCTCTCCCCTCAGCTTCTGCACAGGGCCTCTGCTCAGGCTCTGCTGGTCCCCACGCTGCTCACGAGGAAGGTCAGGCCCTACGTCACTGCTTCATCCTTATTCTCAGGCTCTCCACCCTCAAACATCCTTTTCATTTTGCACCAACTCAAGTTCTGTCTGTTGCTCGAGATCCATGCCACAGTATAAAGCAGGGGTCAGCAAACTTTTTCTGCAAAAAGCTAGACAGTAATCATTTTAGGCTTCTTGGACCATCATGTTTCTGTTGCAACTACTCGACTTTGCTGCTGTAGCACAAAAGCAGCTGTAGACAATATAAAAACCCTCGAGCGCGGCTGTGTTGCAATAAAACACTATTTACAAAAAGGCGGGCCAAATTTGGCCCTCTGGCTGTAGCTTACCAACCCCTGGTCTAGAGCCACAAAGTTGCCTGGGTCTGGCCTAGCTCTGTGTTGCAGGTTCTGAAATACCGAGTCTTTCCTTTCCAGCCTGAGTCTGAAGCCCGTGATCCCTCACGCACAGATGCTTTTGTCCCTTGGGGAGAAACTTCAGAGGTGAAGTAAGGGGGTATCTTTTTGTGTTCCTAGAGTCTGGCACAGCAGGAATTGAAGCAAGATCTGTGAGTGAGGATGAACCATGCCCAATCTCTTGTCTCACCACAGGGTCACAGTCTCAGTGGAGGGGACAAAGGGACGGGGAGAAGGAAGAAGAGGATACTGAGGAGAGGAGAATGAGACCAGAAGAAAGGAGCAGGTACGGAAGAGCGAGAGGGATGGCTCTGTGAACAGAAAAAAGGAATGAGGGATGTCAAGGGCAATGGGCAGGAACCCAAGTGGGAAAAGTGAATGGGGAGAAAGGACATGAACCTTCAAGGAGCAGATTTGTTCTCCCAAAACTGTGCATGTGAACACCATGGGTTCCCTGCTCACCCCATATTCAGTGAGGATAGTCCTGCTATGATTTTGCCCTATAGGCTTTTCCCCACTCTTACAGCCCTTATCTATTCATGTCCTGAGACAAAGGGTTGCCACATTGAGTTCTTGGGGTGAGGTTGTGGAAGGAAGAGGAGGGGTTGGAACTGGAGGTGGGGCGCAGATAGCAAAGTACTAAAGCTAAGCAGGACAGATTGCTCAGGAAATAAGATCTAGTATAACTTCCACGTGACACCTCCTCCAAGCAGCCTTTCTGGGTTTCACGCATCTCATTGCCAGAAGGAAGAGAGCTCTCCACACTCTGAATTTAAGACTTTTCCATCTCCAGTGCAATGACCCTGTGCCTCTGGTAAGGTAGACCATTGTGGGCTTGCTTTTTCTCTCCAGGGTGATGGGGGGGAGTGTGTGTGTGTGTTGGGGGACAGTGACCCAGTCCTGACATGTTGGCCAGGACTGTTGCCAAGAGACTGGCCCTCTCCGTCCGTTTCAACACTTCGCGGGACCTTCCTCGGTGGTCACTCCAGCCTGGCCTGTGAGCAGTGTGCATCCAGGACTGGAAGTACCTCAGAACAGCGATCGAGAGAATGTAGAAAGAGGGGCAAGGAGCAGAAAGAGAGGAAGGGGCTCGCACTAAGGGAGGTTGGGGATGGGGGAAGGGTAGAGGCGGATGGGGGAAGGGTAGAGGCGGATGGGGGAAGAGTAGAGGCGGGGCCTCACCCGCATGATGCGAACGTTGTACATGCGCATCAGCCTCTCGTCGCTGCTCTCAGAGCTGTAGATCTCCTTCCGCAGCTTCTCTGCCGCCCGGATGTAATCACCCCGCGCAGAGTACACCCACTGGAGGGTCAGTCCGCGGGCCTGAGGGCAGGGGCACGGGTTGGGGCGGGTGGCAGGACCCAGGACCCAGGACCCAGGACCCAGGACCCGGCCTTGGACGGAGGTCAAGGGGCTGAGGGCTGGGCTGGGTCTGACAGGAGTAGGGAGGTATAGAGGGACAGAATGCTGGGGCGGAATGAAGGGAGAGGGAAGACCTGTGTGGTTGGGGGCCGGGAGGCAAATCCGGGGGGCTTGGGTGGGGCTTAGATGACTGGGGCAGGAGTAAAGGGGCCAGGTTGCCAGAGGGGACCTAGCCCCACCCCTCCTAGGAGAGTGGGGGTGGGAGGGATCAGACAGCCTGGCCTGGGCAGCACTTCAAGGGGATATAGTGCCCCCCAACCCTAGAAGGCGTGAGCAGGGTTGGCGTCTTGGACCTTGAGGTCCCCAGAGAACTCGTTGAGGCTGCCGATGTGCCTGAGGACCACGTCCCCGTAGCGGCCGAAGTCGAGGGGCAGCAGGTGATCGTGACTGAGCCGGATGAGGAGTAGCCCTGCGAGCTGGGCCACAGCCTGGGCCACGGCTGGCAGACGGCCCCGCAGCGCCTTGTGCAGGTTTTCGTACGTGTCGTCCTTCGTGTGCAGAAACGGGTATGCCTGGCCATCCTGCAGGGACAGAGGGTGCTGGCGCAGGGGCGTGGTGCCGACAGGAAGAGGGGCTGCTGCTCTTGGGCGGGGCCAGGGAGTCTCACCTCCACGAAGGAGAACTCCATGGCAGGAACCCCCGCAAAAGCAGTGAAGGAATAGGCACTGCTGTCCATGGGCAGTGGCTGGATCCTGGGGTTGGACGGCAGGTTGGAGTGCTCTGTGGGTTCAGGCTCCTGCCACATCATCCCCAGCTTTCCTCCCTCCCACCTTGTCCTAACTTACACCTCTGCGTCCCAGCTCTGATTGTTGAACAGCACCTGCTCGTAAAGGGTCTGCCCACTGTGGTTAGGAGAGTCCACCTGAGGGCAGGGTTGGGGACACGGTCAGGCCCCGAGCACCCCTCCACCAGCTTCCTTCCATTCCCTGCTCTTGGCTAGACTCTTGCCTGCTTTATGATGCTCTCAATGAGGCTGATCAGAAGGGGGCTGGTCTTGGCATGGAATTTGTCATCCCCTGCAGAGGAGGAGGCCAAGGTCAGGGCTTGATCCCAAGGGCAGGGGTGCACCTGAGGGAGTCCAGATGGTGTCATTGCCCCTGCTCACCCAGCACAGCGCTGTCCAGGCTCACGTAGACTACGGCTTTCAGGTGCAGCAGGCTGAGGTATCCCTGTGGGTCAGGCGAATGGAGTATGGAGCCCCTCCCCATGTCTCCCCACTGCCCACCTACCTGCCTAGGACCCCACATTACCTCCAGCCACTCCGTGGAGCCCACACTCCCAAAGTCACCTCCATCCCAGCTGATGAAGAGAAGACTTCTTCGAGGCCGGAAGCCTGGGGACAAAGCAGGGAGGGAGGATGGGCTCAACTGGGAGCCAAGCAAAGACCCCCTCTTTATCTTCCTCTGCCCTGGTCCCCTGGGGTCTCCTTCCCTCTCATCAAACACCCAACCCAGCCCATCTCACCTGGGTCTGCTCACACTCAACTCCAAGAGTGATGGAGATGGCTTACACATGGGGTTTCCTGTTTCACCTGCCCTCAGACCCTGGACTGTTACTACTTCCATGTTTAGAAGAGGAAACTGGGATGCAGTCACTTTCCCAGAGCCACGCATGACATGAGTGGCCAGGTTTGGAGCCCAGGTCTGAGTGGTCACACTCCAGCCTGTGCCGCTGATTGCCTCTCTGCCCCATCCCGACTCAGGCCACAGCCTTGGCTGCCTGGCCCAGGCCCTGACCTTACCGTTGCTCACCATGGAGGAGAAGGTCCGCACCAGCTCCAGCAGTATGGCGGTGCCCACAGCAGACTTGGCTGCTCCAGGGCCCCACGCATCCCTCTGGGCCCCAATGACAACGTAGTGATCTGGGGGAGGGGATGTTGGGGTCCACCTGTTACACTGGCAGTACCCAGAGGTGTCTCCCCCCACCCTGGAAGGGTGGGTGCTCACAGGACCTTACCGGCATTTCTCCATGCCCCCAACCAGTCTGTTTCAGCCCCTCACATGTCTGCACCCCCGGCTGTGACTCAAGACAGTGCCCCTCCTCCCCTTGGCCTTGCCTGGATCATTTGTTCTTTAGTGGAGTGCGTAGGGTCATTCCTGACTCCATTATCTCCCAGGTCAGCCATGTCTTGCTGTTCTCCAGGAGTTTCCCCTTTCAAGTCTCTCCACCCCTGCTCCAACCACCAGCTTCCTCACCTGAGCCCATCACTGGACTCCCTGTGCCACTCCCTCAGTGCTTACCGGTACCACACTACTTCCCAGGTTCTTGTGACCCCATTCATCAGCTCAACCACTTAGAGTGGAGAACCACTTTGATTCCCCACTGCTATCCATGTGTATGCTTGCAAGGCTCACCTGCATGACCTGGCCTCCCTTTCATGCTCTAACATCCAGCTTGTGCTTGTTCACCTCCATGCTAGACACATCACAACTGCATTCTGTCTCTGGCCATGTTGGACCTTGAAATCTCACTACTACCCTCCCCAGTCCCAGTCCAGCCCCAACTTGCCAGACTCCCTCCCCGTTAACCCTTGCCACACCCTTCACTTTAGCCAAAGCCACCTCCCTCCTCTGGGCCCCATCTCTGGTCAGGGTTTATAAACAGCTCCCCTGCCACAGGTTGGGCAAGCAAACGCACCTGGCTCTGATCGGCCCTCGATGCAGCCGAAGATGTTGCTGATGGGAGTGGAAGCCCTGTGGTTGTTGACCCCTAGGAGCAGGCCTGGCCCAGGGCCCAGGCGATAAGGGGAGCCTGGGAGCCGTCCCTGCCATTCCCGTGGGGCCGCAGGACCACCAGTCTTCCTGTAGAGGTGTGGGGCAGAAAGGGTTGGGAAGAGCAGACAGGCTCAGGCTAGAAAAGAGCCAAAGCCCCTCTTCCCTCCCTCCCACCATCGGGCTCCTGCTCTCTGCCTCTGCACCCTGCTCAAGGGTGCCTGGTGAGGTGGGTATGGTGTCAGCAGGAGCTCCACTCACCAAACAAAGGGCCCTGGCAAGAGGCAGTGCCCCCTCAGTAGAGCCACCCTCTTCGAGTTCACCCAAAGGCAACTGGTGGACTTGCCGCCTCTCCTGGTGCCCACACGCCCCTCACCTCAGCAGGAGGGAGGCAACATCCGCACTGATGGGCTGGGCTGGGATGCTCGGAAGGCCTGAGGACTGGACTGGCGGAAACTGGGTTTGGTTGAAGGAAGGGAAGCCAGGTGTGTAGGGGTCCCCAGTTCCCAGGTGCACCTGTGAGGTGAGGGGTGTCCACTCTGAAACTGGGCCAGGCTCTCAGAAAGTGTGCGAGCCTCATCCCAGGCCAGAAGGTGCAGCCCTGGGGCCTTAGGAAAGCACTGCTAGCTCCCCCCAGACTTACATGTCCGTACACAGCCCGGGCGCTGGACAGGCCTGGCTTGTGTGGGTCCTGGGAAAAGTCAGCTGGGTCGGGATATATGAGAACTCCTCCCGCCCCAAAGTCCTGGGCACTGGCCACCTAGGGAAGGAAGGGGCTAAAAGACTCTCCCAGAGAAAACATTTGTAAGGGCGGGAAAAGCAAGTAAAAGTGAAGTGACACACCCTTTGATCTGCACTTGTAGAGCCACAGAGGCTGTGGACACCTGGCCCGCATCTTTGCGCCCTCCCACAGTGCCTTGGCAGCCTCAGACGCCGCAGTACCCAGTATTCCCCGCGTTTCTCCCCCGTTCAGGACCTCCTGATTTTGTTCGCGCCAATTGTCTTACAACCAACCCACTTGGTTCCGTTCTTTTCTCCCTCTAACAGCCTCCTAGACACTTCCCATGTGCCGCTATCCGATCCTGGGGTTCCCCAGCCTGCACCCTCCCCCGCTGCACTTCATTCTCCCCTCTCCGGTCCCCGATCCAGGGACCCTCACCTTCTGGGCAAAGCTGATCACCCCCAAGCGCACCAGCAGGAGGCGCCCTGCCGGCTCCACACCCTGCGCCCGCAGGTGCTGCAGGTCCTCCGACCGCCCGTAGTGGGCATACACCAGCTCTCCCTGAAGATGGGAAGGTCTGTCAGGCATGCTCAAGGCATCCCTCCTCTGCCGAGAAGGAAAGGGGGCGTGGCAGGAGGCGCTCACCGTGGCGTTGCCAGTGGCGCTGTAGGGACAGTAGACGTCCGGGTCCTCCAGCGGCAGCTGCTCCCCGGGCCTCCCGGCCTCATCGACCCAGTGCAGGGTGTTGGGGTGAACCCTGAGGAGTAGGGGTGGTGACGAACCGCACCCCGCGCGCACCACCCCACGACCCTCACGCACTCACCGGTCTGGGAACTGCAGCCCCACGTAGTGCGTGTCTGTCCACACGTGGTCCAGCTTCTGGCGAGAGAGCTCAGCACGGACGTCCTGAGCCAGGGCGGCCATTCCGGCTGATCCGGCAACCCTTTCCCTTAGGCTGGTTTGCCTGAGCAAGGAGAGGTGGAATTGGTTGATGCTCAGGAGGGGAGAAGGGCCAGGACTTTGAGCTCCTGGAGGAGCTGCTGCGGGTGGCGGAGAAGGATGTCCGATAAGTGGGGTGGCCCTGGATCCTGCGCTGTGAGGGGCTCCTAAGCCATCACCATCCATCCCATCACCACTAGGGCTGTGACCCATAGTATCTGCAGGGTCGGTCTCATGCTTAAAACATTAGCTGCCAATAGCTAGGGGTTATGTCCACCATTTCATGGGTTCTTCCTGGCTCAGGTCAAACTTCAGTCTACTTTCTCTTTCACACATAAGCACTCTGCCCTGTGCTCTGCCCCAGCATGAAAACACTTGTCTTCTAAAGGGCTGGCTGGCAGAGACAGGACCCTCCATCTCCCCCATCCTCCAGCTGGGCCTCATGGACACCCTACACCAAGGTTCCCAGTGGGATCATGGAGTCACTAGTCTCACTGGACACCTCACCCTGTCTTCTTCCCTAGTCACCACCTACCTGTCTAGCAAGTCTATTGTCATCTGAACTCTCCCTGTTCTTCCATCTCACCTCTGCCACAGCCCCCCAATGGCCTCCCTGTCAACTGGGTCCACCTGTGCCCTCTCCATGGCAAATGAACTCCTCCCTCCTCAGCACTGTCACTACTAAATACCCTTTCTACCCCGGCCTTGGCTGAAACGCTGCTCTCCCTCGAGAAGCCAGGTCTCCTGTGGGGCCCCCGAAGGTGGCTCAGGTTCCCATTCCACCTGGCTTGGAGCGGAGGCCCCGCTGCTCACATTTCTGACCTCTTCTCGGGTAAAACGCCGCCCTTTGAAGCCCGCGCCCTCCAACTCTCCCACTCTCTGCTCCTCCTCACTGCTGTTATCTTCCAGCCCAGCGATTTTCAGCTGGGGTGCCGCAGGATTTCAGTAATTAGTTTGTGTGCCTCGAGACGAAAAAGGTTGGAAATCACTGTTCTAGCCAATCGGTCATTTGTCCGCTTTCACTGAGGACTTTGGCATCTGGCTTATTGTTTTCCTCTTCACACCATGATCCACTAAGCTTCTGCACTGCTTCAAAATCCAGATGGATGTGTGCCTTAGTCTCAGCCACCGCCCTCTCACCTCTCACGAGGACTATTGCAACCCATGGTTACAGCGACTTTCTCAGTACCATTCCTGCCACTAACCCCCTAGTCCCCATCCAGGAGCTCAACTGTCTGCTTGAAACTGCACCTATTGATGCATTCATAAACAAGAAAAGGGGTCACACACTGGATTCCTACTCAGCAGTAAGGGGCAATACACTAGATAGACACACCGCAATATAATACACCCTGAAAACACTGTTAGGTTAAAAAAAGTTTATCAAAATTAAAAGCTTACACCAGAGCCCTGACTGGTGTGGTTCAGTTGGTTGGGCATCGTCCTGCTAGGCAAGAGGTCCCCGACTTGCTTCCTGGTCTGCTGGGTCTCCCCTATTCTGGCTCACATGGGAAAGGGGGTGGGCATCAGCTGATTGATATTTATCTGTCTCATGGACATTTCTCTCCCCCTCTTTCTCCTTCCCATCCCCTCTCTCTAGAATGAATCAATAAAATCTCTTAAAAATAAATAAATAAAAGCACACACTAGAGGTGGCTGTCTCTGAATACTAACTCTTGGAGTGACTTTTTTAAAAAATTCTTTGTATTTTTTCATGTTGCTTAAATATAACATAATGAATGTATAGTATTTCACATAAACATTGTTTTGAAAAAATCTACACATGCACATAAAACATGACATATGTGACAAAGCTGCATGTGTATTTAAAGGCGCACATTGAACCCATCAGATGAGGTGCTTATGGCAGAGAGAGCGGGGAGGAGCGCTCGGGGATAGGGAGGGAAAAGGAAACAGGAAAGCCCTTTCTCCCTCAGTGACCAAGAAGGACACTGGGCTGCAGTCTCAGGGCTATGACGAGCTCCCTTCTTTGCCCCTGACCTTAGAAAGCTCCCTCACCCCAAATCTGATCATGATACTCTATCACTAGAAACTTTTTAGTTCTCACTTGTTCCCCTTAGAATGAAATCCAAAGAAGTTCATATAGCCAGTGAGGCCCTTTTTGCCTGATCCATATCCACCTCAACAGCCGCACTTTCTTTTACTCTCTCCAACAGGCTGCCGTCTTCCTGGCTCAGACCCTTGCATGTGGTAGTCTTTGGCTTAAAATCCTTTTCACCTTGTCTTTGCCTGGTGGCCAAATCACCCCTCAGGTCTCAGCTTGTCACTTCTTCAAGGAAGTCTTCCCTGACCCCCAAACTAAATTAGGATCCCTGGGTTATGGTCACTCCTCACATCTTTACTTTTCCTTCAAAGCCATGAGCCTAGTAATACTCGTGCAGCCATGAGTGTGGTTATAACTTTAGCATTGATTTCCTTGAATAGACTATAGGCTCCATGAGGGCAAGATCCAGACTGTTTTGTTCTCTGTTATATTGCCCCCAGCTACTCAGCCCAGAGCTGGGCACATAATTGATGCTCAAAATATTGGTTGGATAAATGAATGAATGGTCTCATCAATGTCACCTCCAGTCCAGCCATCCACTTCTTTGGCCACACCCTGGATCTTGTCATTGCCTAGAACTCCATCTCCAGAATATTTATCCATTGAGGATTTACCTGCTAAGTACCAGGCACTGTGGTAGGGGCTGGAGACTTCAAGAAAATTAGGACAGAGTTTATCAGATAAATCTTAAAATCTCCAGAATCCTACTCTCTCTCTCTGACTAGAGCTTTTCAGGTTCCAGCTTACTCCCCTACCCTTACTATACCTGCTCTTCAGCCTCACTGAATATTCCAGACTGTCCAGTTTCTCCAAGCCTATCATCAGCTCCTGGTTTCCCTTCCCTTCCCCGTCCAACTTAGAGTCACTTCACTACTTGCTACCCTCTTGCCTCCTTGCCCTTTGATGGCATCCACTGGGTGACACCTCACCCCTAGATCTGTCAAACCATCCACCTGATCAGCCTGTACCTATACTGCCAAGTGTGGCTCAAGAAGATGAAAAAGAAAACAACCCTCATGTCGTTGATGTCACAGATTTTAGGTCTTTTAGCAAGGCAGATAGAGTGATATTAAGAGTGATCATGTTTAGTCCTGGCTGGTGTGGCTCAGTGGACTGAGTGCCAGCCTGTGAACCAAAGGGTTTCCAGTTCCAGTCCCAGTCAGGGCACATGCCTGGGTCATGGGTCAGGTCCCCAGTAGGAGGCACGAAAGAGGCAACCACACATTGATGTCTCTCTCCCTCTCTTTCTCCCTCCCTTCCCCTCTCTAAAAACAAAAAAACAAATAAAACCTTAAAAAAAGAGTGATCACATTTAGTGTTGCTCTCATGAAGAAAAGGAAATATATTAATACAAATTACTACATAAGCATGGTAAGAACAATTAAGTGATCATCTCCATACATCCTAGAAAAATATTAGAAAGAAATTCCATAACTGTCCCTCCTTTCCTGATCATTAAAAATAAAAAATAAATCCCAGCCCTGGCCAGTGTGACTGAGGATTGAAGCATCATCCTATAAACCCAAAGGTTGCAGGTTCGATTCCTGATCACAGCACATACCAAACTTGTAGGGTAGGTCCCTGGTCAGGATAAGAGGCAGCTGATCAATGTTTCTCTTCCTCTCTCTTTCCCTTTCTTCCCCCTCTCTAAAATCAATAAGCATGCCCTCTGGTGAGAGGAAAACCACCCCCCATCCTCTGCTACAAAACTCCCAGTAAGCTAGGAGTAGAAGGAAACTTCCTTAATTTGCTTTTAAAAAGCTTTCCAGCCCTGGCTGGTATAGCTCAGTGGATTGAGCACAGGCTTGTAAACCAAAGGGTCACTGGTTCAATTTCCAGTCAGGGCACATGCCTGGGTTGCAGGCCAGGTCCCCAGTGGGGGACGTACAAGAGGCAACCACAGATTGATGTTTCTCTCTTTCTCCCTCCCTTCCCTTATCTCTAAAAATGAATAAATAAAATCTTTTTAAAAAAAAGAGCTTTCCAGAGTGGAGTCTGCAGCAAAGTTCCCACCCCATAACAAATATTATAAAAACATTCTTGTGACAGTCAGGAAATGGGTAAGGATATCTACTGTCATTGTTACCTAAACTCATGTCCTCTCCAATTCAATAAAAAATTAAAGAGAAATGAAAGGTACCAGCATTGGAAAAGAAGCTATGCATCTCTCAGTATGTATAGTTTATATGATTTTGTACTTAGAAAACCCAGGAGAATCCACTGAAAAACTATTTCTGACCTAAAAGAGGGCTCTTGGTGGCCTGACCTCTTCTGTGCACCTACCTGGCAGCTCCCCCCAGCAAGCAAAGGTGACTTCAGCACAAAAGAAACACTGGCCTGCTCGAGCTGTGCTGTAGGCGGCGCGCTCTGTGTCTGTATGGTTTCCCTCATAATGTAGATGGGGGATGGTCTGCTCCCACGAATAGATTTCCTTGCTTGTTTTTCGGATCCCTGATTCTGATACCTCTTCTCAGAGACCCCCAGAGCTCCCTGCTGCCACAAGTCAAAATCCAGGCTCCTTAGAGTGGCATTTAAGACTTTTCAGAGCCCTCAGAACCTAAGCTCTCTGCAGGTTCATCTCGGGATCTGTCCTTCCCCCTCTCAGCTTCAATTCCTGCTGTTTTTCCCAGGCCCACTGAGCAAGGAGGCCAGGGAGGCAGGTGGAAGGACTCAGAAGGGAGACCATGACACCAGGGTCCTGGGAAAGGAGAAAAAGAGGCTGCAGTGGAGAGGATGAGGGTTTCTGAGGGATGGGATGACCCCTACCTGATGGTGTTCTCCAGACTCCCCTCCCCCAGATGCCGCAGGAACATGGCCTGGAGGTCGCTCCAGTACAATGTGCTTTGGTGGGAGTCCGGGCCTGGCTCATAGTTCACATCCTCATTGACCACCAATACGTCGTTCCCGCATGCCTGGCAAGATCCTCGGAAGGCCACATAGCCCAGAAGGAAGGCTGGCGAGTAGCAAGATGGAGATTCTCCTTGTGCCCCTCCCTGGACCCCAGAAATCTCCCCCAGCCCAGGCCCTTCAGGGTGGGGGCGGAATGACTCTCACCCCCAGTGAAGATCAGCAGGGCTGTCAGGGCCAGGTAGGCAGCACCCCTTCGTCCTGCTGCCGCCCAGAGTCCAAGGTTTTGCCGCCCAGCTTGAGCGCCCAGGGGCTCAGGGCCCCTCAGCTCCATGGCACAAAAGTGGACTGGTGGCCCAGCAACCTCCTCCCCGTCTTCCTCTTCCTCCTCTGGGCAACCCTGCTGGGTGCCTTCCACATGCTTGTAGATGGTCTGAGAGGGTCGTGGGGACAACCTTTTCTGTGGGGAGCATGGTGGGCATGAGATTAGGGAAGGGGGTTTGTGGGGGGCAGGGAGGGACCAGGCAATAATAGGGTCAGTGACTTTGGGGTACCAAATGAGCACAAGGCAAGGAAAGGGGTCCTGAGAGGCAGGTTGGAGGGGAAATATTGAGGGGGGAAGGGGAGGGGCAAGCCTTGGGGTTTGGGAGGGGGCTGAAGGGCTGAGAGAGGAGGCCTAAGGTGTTTCCCGACCCCACTCAGTCTTACCGCTCCCTGGAGTAGACCCCAAAGCGGCTCCATGCTCATGCCCCCTCCTGAGTCCTGTGGGCTGTTCCCTACCCCCAATGATAAACCGTTTGTGGGAGCCCTGTCAGGGCCCCTTATCAGCCCTGGCAGGCAGCCTAAGCTCCGGTGTTTCTTGCTCCCCCCAAGGGTGGGGGCACAGCCCTGGCCTCAGTCCAGCCTTCCTCACATGGCCCCCCAGCCCAGGAGAGAGGAGGAGGGGTTGTTCCCTCCCCTGCCAATCCTTCCACAGTCCCAGTCCTGCCCCATCCCTGCAAAGCAATCAATTTTTGACCTTGGGACAGACTTTGGTCTCCCAGTTCCCATCAGGAGTGGGGGAGGGGTAGTGATGGCTGGGGAGGGTGTAGATATGGATGGCCCCACCCCTCTCCTGCTTCCACCCCTCCCAGTGTCCTGGGGACCCTTCCTAGCTCCCCACCTTGAAAAATCTCTGCCCCTCCTCACCTGCTTGCAGGCCCAATGCCCAGGCCCTGGTATCACATTAGCTGTCCTCTCTGTGTGCCAGCCCCAGTGGGATTCTGAGCTGAAGATGCAGCAGTGGTGTGACCTGGGGGTTTGGTCTAGCTATGTGGTGTCTTGTCTCATGAGAACCAGACTGATACTGGGTCTCAGGCTTCTACTGCTGGGCAGGGAAGGGCATGAGTTGTAGCACATGGCCTGGCAGGACCAGCGAGTGCTCCAGGATGAGGGTCCTGGAGTCAGGGATCTGTGGGTCAAGGCCCACAGGCAGTGGTGGAAGGAGTCCTGGCCAAAGCATGGGCAGAGCTTTGTGACCTTGGACAATTCATGGTCCTCTTTGGGCACTTCTGCCCCTTTCGTGACTAAAGCACTTGGGCCACACGGGTTTCTACTTTTGGGTCTGGGGACCCAAGAAACACCATCACTGTCACAAACCGCTAAGTTTTACCCACAATTTCAGGCAGGGAGAGCAGGTCCCCAAGCCGGGCCGGAGACCCCAGGACAAGTAGTTCTGGAACAGAACGGCTCAGGGGTCTTGTGTGGGGGTCACCCCTAGGAAAACCCAATTCCTACCCAAGTTGGGTGAAAAGTTCTAATTTGCTGGGGTGCACCCGTGCCCTAGTCCCCGCCCCATTCCTGTCATCGGCAAGAGCCCCGGGAAGGAAAACTGCCGCATAGCTTAGGCTCACCTCAGTTACAGGTCCGGGAGTGCTGGGACACAGAGTCTCGAGCGACCGACGCCCCGCCCACCCAGGCCCCACCTCCAGCCCGCCCACTCCTTCCCCGCCTCTTGCCCTGCCTTTACCTTGGCGTTCCCTTGCTTCTTCTCTCCAGCAACCCATTCCCACCCCAGCTCCGCTCCTCGCTGGGCGACTTATTGTACGTCTCTCCTGGGTCCTCTCTGCTGGGTCCTCGCTGAGTGATCCTCCCTGGATCGCGGCACCTTTCAAACCTGAGGCCTGTGTAGCTCCTGCGGCTCCGCCGGCCCACAGACCTTGCCCGGTGTCCTCCGTGGGATCACAGATGGATGCAGATGTTGCCCTCTGCCCTCTGCTCCAACCCCCAGACCCCTGCCCCCACTCCCCACCCCAAGGAGGCCAAACTTTTTTTTTCTTAAAACATTTTTACTCCTTTCAACCCGGAAACATCACAATCTAAGAGGACGAGAGGGGCGGGGAAAAGAAAGGGGTGATGGGGTCGGGGAGGGTTAGGGGACTTCGATCTGAACTTGGGGAGGCCCAGCCGGGGAAACTCTCTCCCCTCCTCTTCTCGTCCCCTCCCCCACTGCTGCGTGCGGGCCTGTGGGTGGGAAGGAGGAGCCCTCAAGGGCACTTCCGCTCCACGCACTGCTTCCCGCCTTCTTCGTATTCCTGCTTGGAGATCCACATCTGCTGGAAAGTGCCCTGGGTGCAGGAGACATTGACGGTCAGGCAGGCCCTGGAGGAGTGGGGGAAAGCACCTCCCCACATTCCACCTGTGCAGGCTCAGCCCCTGGAAATCCTCTTCCTGTTCCCCCCACCCCATCCTCAGGCCAACCTCCCCCAGGCAATACCCTCCCCAATCCCAACTCCCACCCCCATCCTCCTGACAACGCCTTCATATTCTGGGGGTGAATACCCTACTTCGTATCGTTTAATCATAATGCCCATTCATTCAACAAGTATTTATTGTGCACCTGCTACCCTGGGCCAGGCGCTGTTTTTGAGCTGGATGGTGGAACTTAGAGCCCCAGGCCAGCCAGCCAATACCCCAGCAACTGCCCCCTATTTCAAGTGCTTACACACACACACACACACACACACTCATTCCTCCTCCACCAGGCATCCTGTTGCTCCATCTGGCCTTACAAATTGGTCACATCTTCCTTCATTAGCAAGAAAATTCTTCTACCCTCACCATTCCTGCACCACCTCACATGTGATGCAATTGTCTTCATTCTGGTGTCCCACCTCCCTATTGAAACTTGCCCCTTGAGGGTCTCCTGCACTGGGCATCTCAGACTGTCTCTTCTCTTTGATGGTTACTCTGTCTCTGCCTGAAAGTTGGTGCCTGTGTCTATGGTTCTGTCCATTTTTCTCTCCTTGGCTCACAGAACAAGTCTTCCTGGACTAGCTTATTCACTCCCTGACTTTTCATAAGTTAAAATCCCATCCTCCCCCGATTTCCCATTTCTCTTGCAGATCTCTGTGCTGAGTAACAGAGCCAAATACTCAGCTGTCTTTGGGGCACCTCTACTTGAGTATCTCTCAGGACCTCAAACTCAACACATCCACCCCTGAGTTCATTGTCTTCCCCCAGGTCTGGCCCAAACCTGCTTCTATGGTCTTTCTCATTTTCTAAACTAGCACTGTCCAGTAGAGTGGCAACTAGCCATATGTGGTTATTGGGCACTTGAAATATGGCTGATCTGAACTGAGATGTGCTCTACGTAAGATACACAGAATATTGAAGATGAAGTCCAGAAAAAAGAATGTAAAATATCTCAATCACTTTTATCTTGATCATACAATGAAGTATCTTGGATATATTAGACTGAATAAAATATACATTTTTAAACTTAATTTCACCTGATTCTTTGGGCTCTTTAAATACGGCTACTAGAAAATTTTAAATTGTGTATGTGACTCACGTTACATTTCCATCAAACAGAGCTGCCAGGAGCTAGCACCCTGAGCCTCATCCTGCACTCCTTCTCTCTTGCTTCTTGTATTCACTTCTCGGTCAAACACCAATCACAGTGGAGGCCACTGAGCCCAAGTGAGCTTGCTAAACCAATGTTCAACTGTGTCTGCCCACTGCTTTTGGCCTTGCCTGCCTCTCCCCGCTGGTCCAAGCACCCTCTCTCCCTCTTTACCTCTTGAGGGTAAGTTCTTACTCAGTCTTCCCATCTCAGTTTCTGTTTTCTTTTAATTTTTTAAGACTTTATTTATTTATTTTTAGACAGAGGGGAAAGGTAGGAGAAAGAGAGGGAGAGAAGCATCAATGTGTGGTTGCCTCTCGCATGCCCCTACTGGGGACCTGGCCCACAACCCAGGCACGTGCCCTGACTGGGAATCAAACCAGTGACTCTTTGGTTCACAGGCCGGCGCTCAATCCACTGAGCCACACCAGCCAGAGTCCATGTCAGTTTCAATACTCCTTGTAGTCTCTCCCTGACCCCTGAACTGGATCAGGTCCTTCCTTAAAGAAATGCCCTGACACTTCATGGTGACTTCCTGTTTAATAATCTGGGCCTCTAAGACTGCCCCTGCTCATGGAGGCAGAGACTGTGTCAGGCTGTCTGTCCACTTCCAGCACACAGGCGGCCCCCAATAACTGTGTGTGGCTGACATGCTCAGCCCTGAGCTAATTTCAGACTATTAGCCTCCTGACTTTCTGACCCTAGTTTTTGTCTCCCTGGGGACTCCCCATCTAGCGGATGTCCTCCTTGTCCTGTCGTGCCTCTGCTGTCCCCTCTGTGTGGCTGGCACCCTCCAGATGCAGTTTGCATCTCCAGCTCCCTGCTCGACACCTTACTTCTGCCCCAGCAGCAGGTCCAAACTGAACTCACCTACAGCCCCAGAACCAGCCTGCCTGCCTCCTTCTCTAACTGCCCCTTGCTCTTCCACCCTCTCTATGATTCCAGGACAATATATTCTTCTTGCAAGGTCCCCTCGCATCCAGATCACTCAGATCCCCAAAGACATAGTCTCAAACATGCCTATGATCATCACCTAGCCTTGCCCCAGACCTTCAGTGCTTCCTCTCTGCTGAGTACACTGGGTACCTCACCCTGGCACATAAGGCCACCACAATCTCATCCCGACCAACCTCTCTTATTCCTCTGCTCCCTGATTTGTGACCTGATGGAACACTAACCCTTCTGGGATCACTAACTGCCCTTTCTCAAAAATAAATATTTGTTGAATGAATAAATGAGGAGGTAGGCAAGGCACTGGGGCTGCCTGGGGCTACCCCTTTCACACAGTCAGAACCAGGCCAGACCCCTTCCCACTCACTCACCAGTGAGGCCAAGATGGAGCCTCCAATCCAGGGGCTGAATTTTCGCTCCATGGTGCTGTTGCTGGCAATGAGTTTCAGTCGCATGCTCTGCGGGGAAAGAAGGGCTGGGGGAAACAGACACCTGGGTTCTGGGAAAGGACAGGGCTAGGGGTAGGAAAGACTGGGAAGGCACAAGGGGAGGGATCTGCTCTGGTGGCTAGAACACCAGATGTTTGGAAAGAAGGAAGGACTTGGTCTTGAAGGGCTAACCCAGGACTGGAGTCCAGGGCCCTAGCTGGGGGTGGGCTCCTACCGGTGGGGTCTTCTGGGACAGCTCTCGATTGAGCCTATCAGTGAAGCCCTGGAGCAGTGTGTTCCCACCAGTGACAATGACACTGCCATATAGACCCTGAGGGCAGGGAGGAGGAGTAAGCAGACAGGCAACAGCCCTTCCCTATCTCCCCACTTCTCCTAGGCCCCTTTGCCCAGCCGTAGGCTCCGGTCTCACCGGGCGAATGTCGATGTCACACATGCCGATGCTGGTTGTCACCACATGGCCCACACCTAACATGGTGTTCCCTGAGAGGCCCTGCAGAGAAAAGTTACCTGGGTTTGGGGCCCTCTGCTCCCTCTACCCAGGCTCCTATGACCCTTCCCAGGCTCTCCCACACCTTGGCATCCAGGGACCCCAGCCAGACCCACCACAGTGTCCTCCAGCCAGCCCAACCTTGACATTGGAGGGATCAAACAGGCCCTCGGGGATGCGGAGTCGCTCAGCACCATAGTCTGTGTTGTAGCCGTTGGGCATCTCATAATGCACTGTGGGCATTTGTGCAGCCACCCTGCCCAGGAAGGAGCAAGACTTTGTCTGGGGTACTCAAAAAGGACCAGAAGTCCTCACAGAGCCCCAGGCTCTCTTTCCTACATGCCCCCCTGCCAGCTGTAGGCCCCACTCACTGCTCGTCGTAGGGAGAGTCTGAGACCTGCAGCACAGAGGCCTGGAAGTCCTGGATCACCTCCTGAGAACCCAGGGAGGTGGTGAGTGTCAGCTACCCTCCTCAGCCCTCCTCCCCAACCCACTTGCAGGGTCTCTGTCCCTTCCCTTCCATTCATGGTGGGGGACTAGCAGCTAAGGAGGAG